TAATGTCGCGGGCGACCGTGGGAATGTAAGCCTGGTACAGAAGCGATGTCTTGATTTCCCACCCCATGCTCTTGCGGAAGCGGTAGTTTGTCACTGGGAGCATGATGGTACAGAACAGCCAACCACTGATCAGGCCACTGACTCCCGGCGACAAGTCTGTGAAAGTCATGGCCCTGTTGATCACCTCGAAGACCGGAAACTTCAGCATATTCCTGGATTTGTGAAGGAATTTGCTGAAAATAAGCTAAAATACGGAAAACAAGCACGTCGGTCATATATATATATATATATATATATATATTATATTATATATAATATATATATATATATATATATATATATATATATATATTATATATATATATATATTATATATATTATATATATATATATATTATATATATATATATATTATATATATTATATTTATATATTATATATATATATATATTATATATATTATATATTATATATATTATATATTATTTATATATTATATTATATTATATATATTATATATATTATATTATATATATATATTATATTATATTATATATATATATATATATAGATATATATATATATATATATATATATATATATATATATATATATATTATATATATATACAGTAGAACCTTCGTTACTGCATGTCCGTAAATTGCAGATTCGAGTCATCCCAAGAATCTGAAAATTCTTAAACCCGCTATAAAGCCTCTAAAACAAACTTGAATACACTGACTTGAATTTAAACTGTATAACATCCAAGTTCGTCGGAAAGGTGGTGAAGAAGTAGGTGGCAACGAGGCTGAGGGTCATCTCCCCCCACGCCTGTGTTTCGACGCTCACACTCGCACAAGGCAGGCAAGGGTGTGTTTAGGGTTTAAGCTGTTTTTTGGCTCCTGCATTGCTGAGCGAATCACTTGCCAAAGTGTTGGAGAACATACAGAGTTTAGGGTCATCTCGTCCCCAGGCCTCGCGGACCGTCATGCGCTTCACCAGCAAGCGGTTCACAAGCGGCTCGCACCTATGAGTATATGTATATAGCGGCCAAAACTGAACTAGAGAAGAGTTGGCTCAAAATCCTTCAAAGGGTTCCTTTGAGGGATCTATAAGGAGTGCGATAAGGCAAAGTAAAGGGTTCCTTTACAGAAAGCATCGCCCCGGAGGAACCACTTCCTGGTAGCTGTAAGACATGCTTCACGGATGAAAGACAAGGGTTCTATAAGGATGACAGAAGAATAGGGTTTTGGGCTATGTTATATTGCAGGGTTTACGGAGGCTGTAACGGGATACTCTGTAACGGGATACTCTTGCGAATCGTTCCGACTCTGGTAATGATTTCGGATCCTACCCCCAAAGAGCTGAGCCCAGTGATGTCGTGTGTGTATGTGTATAAATATGTATATATATATATATATGTATATATGTGTATATATATATATATATATAAGGGTAATGTTGTATCCCCCCCTGCATTTCGTGATCTCGCACAGCAAACCACACATTCATCTTTTCATCATTTCACCATTCATTTCCTCCATATGGTCAAGCCAGTTCACCATTTCACCATTCCTTTCCCCCATATGGTCAGGCCGGTTCACCGTTTCACCACCAATCCTTTCCCCCAAATTGGTGAAATGGTTTCGGGGTTAGGGCCAAACCAATTGTGGTCTCGGGTCTAGGGCCAAACTGAGAGTTTATCAACTACGCATTGTCTGTTACGAATACCCGATCTCCAAAAAAACATGGGCGCCTGCCTCGTCTGCATTTCAGCCTCCCTTCAGTAAACAAACACAAGGAGCACAGTCGCAACTTATCGTCTGCTGGATGTAGATCAGCAAGCCATGTGTTTATAAACCTGGCCTTTGCTCAGTGCATGTGCAGTCAACAGTCTGAGTGTTGGTCCTGCGCCCCAAAAAGCAATTGGCAGTGCATATCAACTACCTACACAAAGGTGCAAATGTAGCAAGCGGAACTAGCGGTGCGTGGAATAGTGTGCTCCAAGCGAAGCTCAACGCTTGGTTCTTGAAGGCCATGAATGGATGGAAGGAAGAAGAGCCACTCCTTGAGCTGACTGACGACCCAAATCAAGAAGATCGCAAGCGCAAACGAGCAGACGATGATCTTCATTCGGCTTCTAGTCTCCCGCGCCCACACCCAGTATCGACAAGCCCGTTGCTTCATCGTCATCGTCTTCATCTTGGGCATCTGAGGAGCAGAGTGAGTCTGAGGCCGCCGCGTCTTCGGATCATGCCCAGAAGCTGTCTGAAAACACGGACATTGCCAAGGCTGACGACCAGAAGCCGTCTCAGAACAATCAGGCCGGTCACTTGGAGGACGTGTACCACTTGGAGTTAGAGGTGGACGGATGGGACGGTGACCGGTAAGATGCGTGGCGATCGGCCGCCTGGTTGTTCGACAAAAGAACCGTAGAGTCGGATGATTAGAAGAAGATCAAAGCCAATCTTCTTCGGAAGGTTCACAAGGCCGGGAAGCCGCGCGAATTTCCGTATCGTCTTTCACGCGGGGTTTGTGGTTGCCATGCAAACAGTGGGAGGGCTTGCATGCGGAGCACCTAGTTTCAATGACAAGACTCCGGTGATGCATCGACTTAATCACAAACTTTGAAGACAGCATTTGGCTTCAGAAGACCGATCCTTGCCTTGCAATCAGTGGTAGGGGAGGCGTAAGGCATGTTCAATAAACCATTTCATGGATGCACTGACGTCATGCTAAACTTTGACAAAAACATGGGCACATCAACCCGCAGGCGGTTTACAAAGTTAGTTGTGTTTTCCCACTCTGCGAAGCAGTGATCTCCGGCGTACATTCGCGCCCTAGAAGAAGTCAAGATCTATGACGTCACACTTTTGGAGGTTCCCCTTTTCGTGCGGCAGGACGGCACCTTCGGTTGTGCTGATAGAAGCGCAGAAAGACAGACCGTGTGTTGTTTATGTATGTACTTGCTCGTTTGCTTGCTGATCAAAACTTGACTAGACAAAAAGTGGACAGATTGACTGACACGTTCACATCTTAGTCTGAGTCTTAAAATTATCAAAACATAAACTGAACCCCGGAATGCTTCCTGCTTGGCATAAAATACCGCAGAGACTTTTCAAAAAAGGGGGCCCTACTGTAAAACCCTGCATAAAAGAACCTTACTACAAATGCCAAAAAGTAGGGTGCCCTGTACTCTGAAGCTCCCACATGGCGGAAAGGACAGCCGCCACCAGGGCGGCTGTGCAACCCTGCGCGGCAGCAGCAAAGACCTGGGAATTGGGTCAACCGGGGCTTCAGGAGTAAGGAAAATACTCCGGAGCCACCTATGCATATGTAACGCTCTATGGTGTGAGGTCAACGGGGCTCTTGAGCTTAATCCGTAGGCGCCGAGACGTCTATGAGGTGGGACCCAAGGAATGCCCAATTCCTTCTCTGGGCATTGCGAGTTTTGTTTCCCACCTTGGTGAAGAAGCCGGCGTCCTCGTGTTGTGGGAGCTCGACCTGAGTTCTCTTGTTAGCCGAAGAGCTGCTTCTAAAAGCAGAGAGCAGTAAAAGGACATCGTACGACTTGATGTTGCTGGTTCTATGATGACCCCAATTGTGGTAACTCGAAACACATTACCTGATATAGCCCACAGTTATGCTAGCTGCTAGCTTAACGACAGGTTCCTTCTCACGATCCCAGGCGACATTCTGAGGAGGATCTTCGGCGATGACCAGCGCCAGGTCGCGCGGCAGGGTGCTGGACACCCAGAGGTCCACTAGCCAACAAGCCTAGGTTCAGAAGAACAACGGTTGCAATGACACTAGACCTAGACGCGTAACAAAAACTGCTAAATGAGACGAAGAACTCATGTCGAGAAGAAAAGTAGCAGGCACGGTACCGTATTTTCCAGTTTCCAAACGGCACAACGATGCTACGACTCTCAATCCTATAAGAGCCCCTTTAGATATCCCTAAGAGAACCCTGAAAAAGGGGACTACTTGAGGAACCCAGAAGCGGTGGCGAAGAGGAGCAGAGGTCCAAGGCCGTTGGCCCGACGGGGAGCCATGTGAAAGGTCTGGTGGAGCGCCGCGTGATGACTCTTCGAAGTTCGAAGCCCAAATGGCTACGGCTTGAGAATGGGGCTTAAGCCGTAGAGATTAAGACTTCAGGGTTTAGCCTCCCTCATTGCTCGACGAGCCTGCATCTCAGGGTTGGAGAGGCACTATACTGCTTAACTGCTGGCCTTCATCATTGTATACACACAAGGTTCACGCTCTGTAATTGGGGTTGACAGTATGGTACGGCCGGGCAGGGCTCATTCTCAGAGAGCGTCCCCACCCCCCGCCACCGGACTGCACACCTGCATTGCTACCACATGGTACCAACAAACGACAAGATTGAAAAACCAAGCTGGCAACTCTGAAGCTCTGAAACCTAAGAGGCAGGGCCTTCCATCAATATTGATCTCGATGGTCTCGCGACCGCTGAAAGTGTTGATGCGCTTTCGGCCTTGTATTGAATGCGTGCTTTGCAGGTGGGGCTTAGGGTTTTAGGGTTTGGGTTAGGTTGTGGGGTTAGCAGCAGCAGGCTGCAAACCCTAAGCTCTACGTGCCCAGACTGAACGCCACAAAGTTGGTGCAGTGTTGGTGCTTGAGATGCTTGCACGGTTCCTCCAGGTTCAAATCCCAAAACCTGACCGCTGGGCGCTGAGACTCGAACCCTGTAATGGTTCGGCCGCTTGACGCATACTGGCAGAACTCACAACTTCAAAAGTCAAAAGCAAGTTCCACTAAAGGGGCTAGGTCTCACGGTTCTTGACTGTGTGTTCTTTTGAGCCATAGCTGCACTGCACAAAGTTGGGGGTGGCAAGCAACAGCAAGAAGAGCCGTAGCCCCTCAGGTGAGCAACGGCTCTCGCACTAAGGGTGTTGGGAGTTCAAGTAGAGCGTAACCTCGATGCCCCAAACCTGATTCTAGCCCTGATAAACAGCGACCCCGACAGTGGGGGTGTGGGTTTGGGCCTCCAACTTCCCAGGTACAAAGCCTTACAGCTGAGCGGCAGCGGTCGCCAGCAAGGCGCCCAAGTTTGCAGAAGTCGAAGCTGATCCCCTTCCTTGTTGATTTCTTGACGAGACTTGCCAAAACTGTCCCTAGTTCGGCCGCAGAACCCATTTACTTACTCCAGACCAATTAAGAGGGTCTGTAGGGTTGGGCATGTGATATTTTGGTTTTAGTGAGAAGCCCTTAGATATGGTACGCTCTAGGGTCCTATCCCTACACCTTCAGCTCCCCCTCTGCTTGGCACCTTTTGGCTTCACGTCCACTTCCCCCCGACTACGCCCCGGGTAAATCCGTCCACTGGATTTGTCAGCGACACGCTCATCACTAGCTGCTGCTACGACTCCTCCTCCTGCCACTGCTACTGACTGCTGCTGCTGTGCTACTTAACTGCAACTGGAGCTACTACTGCTGCTGCTGCTGCTGCTGCAAGGCACACACTGGCACTGCACGTGCCAATGCGCCTGTACGGCTACTGCCCCCTCCCTGTAGCTTGTCGCTGCTACCATCCTTGTCTGGCGACTGGATGCGTGCACTGCAACCTGTCGAGCCACTGCAGACCAAAAAAAGCCTCACTATGAAGAACCCTCCATTCGGAGAAAGGATCGTTTCCGCGCGATCCAGCAGATACGGCCTGAGTCTTGACAAGACGAGAGAGGAGAGCTACATGATTGCCGGGTTCAGGGCTTTGCGATGCCAGGGACTGCTTCTAGACAGGTTGAGTTCCTTAGAATCGGTGCGCGCAGGTTCACTGCCGGGGCAAGCCTCAAAGCCCAAGACCAAACGGTGCAGTCGTGACAGCGGCTGGTTTTCCTTGTCCACCAAGGCTTTGAGCAATGAAGGCATTCCCGAATCTAAGTGAAACTGCCAGAAAATCCCGAAGTGCCGGAGGAGCCTCAGGGCTTATTGCGATGAAAGCTTCGGGGTTCGGGGACTTTACATCCCCATACGTAATCGAGAGCCACGAAATCGGCACGGTTCGAGAATGCTCATCGCAGGAGGACTCGGGGTAACCCGGACTCTGCCGTCTTGAAGATATGTGGGCCCAAGCAAAACCGGCGAAGTGTAGAAGCAAGTGAGGTTTCCCAAAATTCCCCAGCGTGTATTCGCAGAAACCAAATGGCAAGTGCAACTCTGCGATAGTGTATACCTCGCATTCCTGCGGTTGTCTGTGCGGAGCAAAGCCTTGCACCTTTGACATCCCATGAACTGAGCCCATCTCCTCGAGCCCACATCATCTTGCAAGGAACTCAAAACTCTCAACCGTCATAAAATTCAGTTTAAAGCCCGCTCAGGCACCTCAACAGAAAAAGCGATAATCCGTGCCTTAGACACCGAAAAGACCTCAGCTCAAGGCAGGTCGAAGTTGTTGATGTTGTAGCCCGTGATGACATCTGGGTCGACGTCCTGCCAGCGCCGAAAGAGTCTGTGAGTCTTCGAGCGAAGTTTGGAAGAAGTGTAAAGTGTGAAGACTTAAGGGCTCTACCTAAAGGGCAATTTTCGGTGGAAGCTTCGAGACCATTCTTCTTCCCCTACATTGACTTTATTGACGTTCTGAATAATGCTGACGACTGCTTCCCATGATTGGTACTAGCCATATGGAAAGAATGGCTGACATGAACACTATTAAAATGCTACTTGATTAAAATGCTACTTGGTTTGGACGTTACACCCAGAAGCAGAAGAATGAAGTCTGACCTCCCACTTTTGCCGGCATCGTTCTTTCTCTACACCCAGAAGCAGAAGAATGAAGTCTGACCTCACACTTTGGCCGGCATCATTCTTTTTCTACACCCAGAAGCAGAACAATGAAGTCTGACCTCCCACCCTTGCCGGCATCATTCTTTTTCTTGCCAGCCCCGCTCCACTCCGCTAACAGCGCTGGCGCACAGGCGGCGGAGACCGCACAGTCGTGCAACCTTTCTTCAAGGTTGAAGGCTTCGATTGAGGCTTAGCGTTGCAATGGGGCCTGGGACTCCAACTAAGAAATTCGAAAGAGAACGGATGCTTCGATCGTTGGTTGTTGTAGACTCTGGACGCCGCGAACTTTCGGCCAGAGTCCGATTCAGCGCACGAGTGCCGCAATTAAACCCAAAACCCTCAGCTCTTAAGCAGTGGGCTCTGAATCCTTCCACAGCTCTTCTTTTTCAGTGAGTGTTCTGATGACTCTCCGTCCTCACCGCAGGGGTTTCCGATGTAATGCTACGAGAGGACAGTGCGTGCGCAGTAGAACACGCAGAAGTGCCACGAACCCGAGGTTCTTTCAGGCAGCTCCTGTGGAACACCTTCAAAGTTGCTTTACTGTTAAACCCGTAGGGCCGTGGGCTGTCCGTGGCTGCCCCCCACCCCTCAGCACCCCCGCCCCGCATTCATCATCTTGTGCCCTCCGAGGCGGACGACGCCAAGCGCTTGCCATAGAAGCCGCAACTCTACCCCAGACTTTCAAAGGGCTCCACAAGCAGAACCAAGGCGACTGAGCTACTGGTCTATAAGGGATCCTTGATCAGGCCCTTCAGCCCTTGGTCGAGAAACAGGAGCGCCCAGGGGCGCTGCACGAACAGGAACACAAAGCCAGCGGTGAGCGTTGTCAGGCCGAAGATCAGCATCCTTGAAATTCAGACCAAAAGCATAACAACCCGCTGAATGGGGTGACATGTTGGAATGGCCTTGTAGCTCTAGGGTGACTTCAAGTAAGCGATAGTTTTGCATCGTAAGTAGCATACCTCGAACATTTTCTGTATAACAAGTCCGGGCTGTTGCCTTAGCTGTCATGGGGCATAGGATGGCACTTGTCTGAAAGACCATAAAAACTGAACTAAAACCGGGGGCCCCAGGTGCCACTGGCGTCCCCTGTTTTCAACCTTTGCTCTCAATTTCCTATTAGTGGTGGATCCATGTTGGTTTAAGGCGGTAGATTCCTAGTTGCAGGGTTCCCTGCCCCATCACCATGTTATCCTTCAAACAACGGTGGGGTTGCCGAACCGACCAATAATACAATGGCTGCGAGGGCACAGCTGACTTGGCCATGTGAAGAGGGAGAAAACCCGGTCGTTGATGGAGCTGTGCGATTCCACGAAGAACTGCCTGGTTACTTGAGGTTTGGGAGTTGAAATAAGCTCTATGACAAAAAAACAGTATACTTTGATTCCGGAGCCGGGGTTCGGATTCTGGAAGTCTAGGGTTGAGGGTCCCTGAGAACTACACCCCCCGAAGTCCCTACGCAAAACGGGGCGGAAGCCATGAATGAAAAAAGTAGCTCGGGGTCTACCTTGACCCCCCCCCCCTTACCCTATACTATACCCACTCTTAAGAGCCACAAGGACTCAGTTGAAGGGCTCTTGGGGCGTCCTGGTAGGGTTTAGAGGTAAGTAGTTCGGAGGTTTGGGGTTTACAGAGCAGTCCCAGGTTCGGCGCTCACACTCGGACAATCCAGGCGAGGCAGTACAGGGTTTAGGGTTTACAAACCCTTTCTTGGGGATTTGGACCTTAAAAGGGTTTACGGCTTAGGGAAGCCCAGACTTTTCTAAACTCACAAGACTGAAATGCGGCTTGTTCCAGGGCTGGAAGCTGGAAAAAGGTCTGTCCGGTGCCGATTTTCCTAGTACTGGCAGGATCCCTGGTCCTAATATACTGGGCTTGATATTGGACATGGGTCTTGGTCTTGGTAGTAAAGCATAAGTATGTTGCACATTCCGGTCTCCACAAAAAGACTCTGGCAAAAATAGACGAGGCCTCAGCATAATCCCGCAAATCAGAATCCTCAAACCAAGGGCAGGAAGAGATCCACCTATCTATCCTTTATCAGGGGGCCTTTGCCTAATTCCGGCCCCTGACACCTGTTTCACTGAACACTGGCCTCCTAAACTGAAGCCCAGCAGCACGAAGGGGTGTGCCACGTTAGTGCCGAAGGCGAGGCGATTCAGAATCGCCAAGCAACGGCCACTGGGTGTCTGCCTGCAGCCGACAGCGAAACACGCAAACAAATTGCCCCACTACGAACGTATAACTATAGCTACAATCCAAGTATCCCATATGATGGGGCCAAATCCCGAACCCCGTGACGCTCAACCTGTTTCAACCTGAAACTCAAGCGCCGCACAAACTGCAGCCCAAATCCGAGAGATTCACGGCCACTTCAAACATGTGTGGGACCCAGATCCTGGACCGTTCAGTCTTGAGGCCTTCATGACTGGGGCGTGTGTTTACTTGGAGTTCAAGATGGCTGGTCGCGGGAAGCGTTCTGGCCATCAATGCTTTTGGATATCAGCCGGTGAGATGCTGATGATGCTGATGCTGATGCTGCTGTCGCCTGGAATGCATGATACTGATGTGGTCTGACAGTACACATCCCCCAACATATTCGACGCAGAACTGGCATCCAACGGTATTTAGCGAAATGCCTTGCGCGGCAGCCCTCGCAAAGCATCGCTACTCCGACTGCAAGGGCAGCTTGCCAAGCTCCTGGGGCGCACATTTGTCAAGAGCTTTTCGCAAAAGAAGAGTCCTGCAACGAATTTTGGAAGATAGACATTTGCCTTAAACCTTAATGCAGACCCTAGACAGCAGGATCTTCGATGAAGGGCCCAGCACAAGGTACTCTTCATTCTCCGACTAAGCTGGAGATTTTGTCGACTGTGAACGGTTCGAGATCGACTTTCGGGCTCAGGGCTTCATGCCGTAAGACAACACAGCTGAAGGTTTCTCAAGCTGTAGCAACTACTGCCTGGGACCCCTGCAAACGAAATCCTCGAACACCGAGCATTGAACCAACGCCCCGGAAACCCTGTCTGCCCTCTACAGCACAACGAGCACCCCAAACCTGCAAACAGACGCGAAAGGACACCGATCTGTACACATGCATAATAGTTCATGGATACTTCCAAGTCTGTATTACTATGATTGTATGTACACGTGAGTTTACATATGTGTTGACTTGCTAGGTACACAGAACAACCCCAACATCCACCCGAGCGGCCGGTTACCAGCAGCGGATGTTGGCCAACGAACCTCTAGCAAAGCTTCCTCTTGCAGTCAGATATATATATATATATACACATATTTATACATACATACACAACCTGTCGTAGAATGGTGTACATGTATACAGTATATGTGTGTATGTATATATATATATATACTAGGATAGACCAGTCGCCAGTAGTATAGTGTATTCTATGTGCATACAGCGCATACAAATGGATAGACCGGTAGATGGATGGATCGGTAGATAGATGATTGCATGGAAAGGCGGATAGACAGATAGATAGATAGATAGGTAGCACCGAGCTCATCTCATGATTGAGCACTCAAAATCACTGCTACCTATGGTGGCCCTTAAGCTTAAACCTTAAAGCCCTAAATCCTCAAAGCTTCCTTCGAGGCGGCCCTAAACCCAATGGAAGCTCCGGGATTTGATCCTGGACCCATCTAGAACCCCTCGTCATCCTAAACCCATTGCATCCACGTGCACCTAGACTGTAAATCCTAAAGTCTAAACCCATCAAAAGAGCAACCGGAAGCCCGATCCCGGCACTTCAACCCAGGCCACTGGTTCAAAGATGCTCCCGGAAGGCTCTCGAGCCACCTCTGCTGCTGTAATATAGGGGCCTTAAGAACTAGAGTAGGGTTCCTTTAAAGAGGTTCCTTTTCAAGGGTCTGTGAAGCGCTACCGTAAGGGATACTTTAAAGATTAAAGATAATATACTATAGGGGCCTTGATGATTAGAATAGGGTTTTGGGGCCCATTATACTACAATCATAGTAAGGAACCCCCCAAAAGAGTATTGGCAGTTATTCAGGCGGTTGCTTGCTGTTGGCTTGTAAAGGGCCCTGTTTCCATCCAGCCAGTGGACTGACTACCTGCAGTGTTTGAGGTTCAGGGTCGGTTCTTGGTGTTGTCTGGGGGCCTCTTTCTACGCTGCAGAGAGCAACGAGGCAGGCAAAGGCACAACTAACTTGTAATGCACGCTTATTTTGCTCTATTTTAATTGGTCTTTTGGCTCCTTGGAATTATTACTGTAGGGTTTATTACTGAGACTAGTTCATATCCCACTACCTTCCGAGATATCTCTGCCCCTGTCAAAGCGACTCGGACTCCGGCCGTAAAGTAAGCTCGCAGCCCCAAATCTTACACCCCGAGATACTTAATCTCTGACTCCAAACTTCTGGAACCCAACAAGTCTTCAGATAACAAGCATGGAATTTCAAAATCTGAACCCAATTAGGACTCTACAAGCTCAAAACGGAAACCATTCATAAAACAAAAACTAGCTTCAAAACGCTACACCGCCCTCAACCACAAAAACCCCATTGATCGAGATACTGTCCGCGCGAAGCACCAAAGAGTGCCAAGGCGACCAGCACCATCAGCAGCCCTGGATAACCGGCTAGCTTCAGGTTTCCGGCTTGCTGTTAAGGATTGTATACTCAGGGTTTAGGGTTCCACAACACTCGTCGGACCTGGGATGCTGAAGTTTATGGGGCTTTGGGGCTTTCGGGTTTTGTCATTCAGGGTCTTAAGGTTTAGCGTCTCATTTTTTGCCTCAGAGTTCATGCCTGTGGTTGGGGTTTACACTCGCAACTCGGCAAGCCAGACGAGGTCTCTGTGGGTTTAGGGTTTCGGCTTCAATTTGGGCTCTACAGTTTCGGGGCGAAGTGTCCGTTTCTAAAACTTCCGACCCTAGCGCGCAGTGTGAATGCGCACGTGTAGGAAATAACCCTCACTGAACCCGCAACAGAACAGGACCAAAGTCTACCCAGAATCCCGTAGCTCCGCATCCCGAATGCCCCACAATACTAACTTCGCCTCAGAGCCCAAGAAATTTGAAGAGTGTGGCACTCGAGAATTGGATCTGAAATGCTCAGCTTTCCCGGCTCCCTCATCCGAGCGCGCACCCGAAAGCAAGTGCAGGGATGCTCGATTGCATTCCTGACGATTGCCGAAAATGTTCACAGGTGACCCTGATCTGCTTGCGTGGGGAGGCTCCAAGAGGGCTTTGAGTTCAGGGGTTCGGATATCCTTACGGGGGATCTAAACGTCAACCTTAATCCCACCAACCAGCCTGCTGCTAGGCTCCGAGGACAAGTTTACTACTCTTGGCTATGACCGTATTAAGCCCGGAGATTACGACTTTGTCTCGCCTGGCCAGCGCAAGTGTCGAGCAGTAGCAGGAACGGAACTGCGTGGGAGCCCACACAGCCGGAGAAACCTCGCAATGTCAGAACGGGCAAAATGATGGATCTCATCTCATCCCCTCCAAAAGCCCTGATGAAAGTTTCGGATTTAAACATCTATTTCGAACGGAAGAATAACCCTGCCACGAGACAACACCTGCAGCGCAACCCCGCGTGCATGGTGGACCCACCAGGCATCAACATTCGGCGACGTGCTGTCGAAGCCGAAAGCAACGATCGCCGCAACAGTCGCCAGCATAGCCCCGTGAGGCAGGCAAAGTAGGGACGTGGTCAGCGTGAAGGCCTGGAGCGGGAGAGGTCTTGATATCACGGCTGGGCCCGTGAACCCTCAGCTGGCCGGCCCTAAACCCCGAAGCGTGCGCCTGAATCTCCAACTGGAAATTCCAAAGGTTCACGCATGGATTGCCATTACCTGACATCACTGACAGCGGGATTTAGAGTGTTCAGGACTCAGAACCACCAACACCCTCAAACTTGAGGGTTCTCCTCCTCCTGCTGCCTAGCAAGAACGCCATCCACATCTACTGTTCATTCAAGGTTGAGGCTTTGGGGTTTAGGGCCTGCGGTCTCAATTTGTCCAAATCGGCCCCTGGCCCAGAAGAGACCGCAGGCATACTGGCATGGGTTGGGATCTTGGGGTGCTGCTTCGGGTTATGGTTGCAATGCTACTTCAGGGCTTCTCGACGCTTCTATGCAACACTTCTTCAAGACTTTTGGCCCAGGCACCTTGGGCAAATAAACTTCACAGCCCCTGGGTTCATACTATCATAAACATGAAGAACAACTCCCGCGGGTCCTATTGATAATGGGACGCCAGCCTGCCGGCTGTAGTGCACGTTTGAGGTTGGTTTGCTGAAGAGGCAGGGATGAGGAGGCCATGTACGAGAGTGTTGCCTACACCCTGATACCCTGCCGAGACCTAAGCGCAAGGATTCAATCCCATATCCTGGGTGAACCTAAACCCTTAGGTTACGGATCCCTCCCCACTCAGTCCGACATAAGGGCGTTTTGTGGGTACAGGGCCTTAGAGTTGAGTTCAGGCTTTACGGTTCGAGTTTAAAGGGTTCCAGAGAAGGGACCCTGAAGAGCACGATGAGAACCCCGATAAAACAGCTGACCTTTCGAAACAAGCGAAGAAATAAAACCTTGCGAATACCAGAAGCAACCATTACATGATACGAAACGAAACCGCGCATATCACAAAGCTTTAAACTCTAAACCCTAACCCTAAAAGCTCTCATGGAACTGGTCGGGCTTCCATTCCGCCAGTCTTCGTCGAAGTCCTGAAAGATCAGGGCCCCCACGTCACCCAGCAGGAAGGAGTAGCGCCACTTCCTCTGCATGCACTTGCCGGTGGCATGATACCTCAGACATCGGGCCAGGCGTTCGGGTTTCTACAGTTTTGCATTGAATTTAAATGTAGCTTCCAGTAGAGAAGAGCCATGCCCTGAATCGCGTGACGTGGTGCCAGCGTATCCCAAACCACGGAAAGGCGTGGTTGTAGGGGTTGTACACCACCTGCGTCGGGACCACATGCTCCCAACAGCCCGACCAACAGTCGCATCCATGCTGTACGAGTAGGATACGACCTACCCTGGTAGAGTGTAAGTAGCTTATGCACGTACAAGTATGCATACACGCTACCTACAGAGGCATGCAGATACATAGATAACGGCGGTACATGTACATACGTGTCGGTATATGTTACATATACGAATATGTGTATATATATATATATGTGTGTGTGTGTATATATATATAGCCAGGTACATAGATAGATAGGTAGAGCATGATAGATAGGCAGATAGATACAAAGGAAACATACGTAGAGGTAGACAGAAAAGTACGTAGACTTTAGTCAGACGGACATATACAAACACGAATGCGTACCCACCTGAAAAGCTGCATATGTGCTCAGACAGAGCCAACCGGTAAATGTAGGGACTAAATGGGACTAATATAGACCTGCAGATAGACCTGCATAATTACACGTACACGTACTCAATGGCGAGATTACACTGTTAAACTTAGAAGTAAACACAAATGTGTACATGTCTCACAGGCTGATTTCGCAGAGAGCTGGGGGGCGAGTTTCTGTCAAACCGTGTGCACGCAACGCCCGGGACTTCAACGCCTAGCGTTTTGGGCTCTGAGAGTCGCTCTGGGCCTTACGACTATGAAGGTTACTCTAAGGCTACGTTTAGGTTTGTGTCAGGCACATTCGGCAAGACGTCGAGGTAGAACCAGTTCCAGAAGAGGCAAACCGGCAGCTGCCGAAGATACTTCAGCCAGGACCTCGCTTTCGGGATCTTGGGATGAGTATATGAGAGTCGAGACGAGAAGACTAAATTCTGGCGTGTCAAGAAAATGTGGTGTGTATCAGGGACGGAAGCTCCAAAGTTTGGGGCTGCACAAACTTCATGTCTCGGCATGGTCCCCAACATTCCAACTCAACGAGTACTCGTCAGATGCATATTGTCATGCTCTTCGAACGGCCTGCGCTCAGGGCTCTTTTGCGATGCTGCTATTCTCGTGATACGCAAAATCCAGCGGAGGATGTCGGGGAGAAAGGGGGCGCGAGAGTTCCAGAATCCCTCAGTATGCAAGCCTCGAAATTAGAATAGAGTTTTCATGCCCATGATATTAACAAGGAGCCCTAAGGAATACTATTAGCAACTATGTACTGATCTGAGCCGCCGCCAGAGCCCCCGCCGAAAGCGCATGTGGAAGGGCCGTGCGGGCTGGCCGCCAGTACATGGCGCCACCTCTGGTCGAGGCCCGGCGCCCTCAAGCCTAGGCCCCAAAACCCCAAACCTGAGATCTCTGGACTTGCAGATAAAAGGTCTAGGTTTCAGGTTTTGCAGCTTGGGGTTTGGATAGGATCAAGGTTAGATTTTGGGTTTTGGGCTTGCAGGTCGGCCATTTTGGAACCGCTAGGAGGGTTTTAGGCCGCAAGCATGAACTCTGGTTGTGACAATGCTGGCATCTAGACGGGCAAGCTGCAAACGTCACGGGAGGAGAGGATGGGGGTGTTTAACATAGAGCCTGAAAACTACCAACATTATTCCTCAGGGTTCCAAAACGTAACGAAAACGACAGACTAGTTGAGGCCCCTATATTGCGCTGTAGACCTCTGATTACTCCAACCTCTCTCTTCTGTAGGGATAGGAATCCAACGGAAATAGGGCAATGCGGAAATCAGGTCCACGTTGAGCCTGCAGCTGCAAAAGCTTGAGGTTTAGGGGCGTGGGCTTTTCATCCCGCATCTATTCCACTCACACCCATGCGAACCTTGAACTGCGAGCTCCCACGTAACAACCATGTCTTCTGGGTTACCGGTCAAGCACAAACCCTGAAATCCAAACCGGACCTCCGACTTCACATAGCTCCAGACGCAGAGGTACGTGGAGAGCCTGCTTTCGGTGGCTTGAGGATTGTCTTTATAGGCTCCTGCAGATTTGGCAATAGCTTCAGTGCTTTGGGTTTGAGGCTTCACGGTTCACGGGCGTTTTATCTAGATATAGAAACCGTTAGAATGACGGTGTGGGGTAGATTAGGTCAACAGTAAAGTCCGTGTTTCCGTTCGCATGCATCGAGACCGACAAACAAGCAATCCGGCACCGCTCGCACTTCGGAACTTCGGCTTTCTCCGTCTCTGGAACAGGTGTCGGTACTGTGATAGACGCGAACACACAACAGCAAGTGCGTTGCGTCTGTACATACACGCATACACACATGCATGCATGCATGCATACATACATTAGATCGATCCATGCACGTATACATACATACGCACATGCATACACAAGTACATACACATACATAGATACATACACACACACATATATATATGTGATTAAATATATACACATACTCATATACATACACACACACACAACTCAGATACCGCTTGTCTAGTATGTATACACACAGGATTGTGTTGTGTGCGCGTGCACGTGATGTGTGTTGGTGTGTGTGCGCGCCCAGGCATGGGTAAACAAGAAGCCGAGGCGCTGGATAAAAGCGTCCTGGACCAATGCCAGGGGGCGGATGGCCTGAGCCAATTGATGTTCAAAGGCTCCTAAGCCGGGATAACGGTAGGAGCGAAGGCATCCCAAACATGGGTCCTTAGGAGAGGGACTCTTGAGCAGACACGGTGCCGTACCTATTAAGGGCAGTATAGCTGCATGGTATGAGACGACTGGGGAATGCAGAAAGGCCTGACTACACGGTTCAAGGGTGTGGACGCTTCTTCTGTATCGATTTATGTTGTTTCTGGCTTAACAGCGACGGCAGGGTATAGCTTTGCAAGGCCTGGGTACGGGAGTGAGGCTGCTTTGCGATCCTGTTGTTTCGACAAAGTTCAGTGTCCGCAGTTTATCTTTGGGATAATCGAAGAAGGATCCGCGGTGCACCCCCAATAACTGGAATAACTGCTCCTCTCACATAAGGAGACTATCATGCTGTGGCACCTGCTGCAGTTGATCCTGTAGCAGAATGCCCGGATGTTCGCCATAATCCCTCAACCTCCTGAACTTGAACCTGGACGATTTACTGGCATGGAAGAGGGAAGGGTTCGCTGAGTTACATGCGGGCATCGCCTTACACGGTTTCGAACCAGGAGTCGGGACACATGCCTGAAGCAAAGATGCAACCTGAAATCAAAAGCCGACTCTGAAGGGAACCATCATTCCATGAGCACATCTACAGTGGGTTTACTTATCCCCAGACCCTGACCTCGCAAATCTGTCTAAAGCCGAGGCCCCTGACCATAAGCCCTATAATCTGCGCGCTACGACTGACCCGAACACGACCCGAAACCTGTGCGAACGACCACCTTGAACAGGACATACGTGGTCTCGACGACTTCGATCTCTCGCCACTTGGAGCCCTGCGTGACATGCCTGGTTGGTTCAGGGCTCTGTTGTCTCGGCTGGTGGGTCGTTCTCTCTGTAAAACGACTTTCCGCTGTTTGCTTACTCCTTCTCTTTTTGAGTATCTCAGCATGAATATGCTCCATTAGCTCTTTCTTTCTGTCGTTGTTTTGCCACCAACCCTTTCTTACCTTTTTTTTTGTGTCCTCCTTTCTTCTGTGTCTCTCTCTGTCCCTCTGTGTGGTGGGCACAGGGGATTTGGCCATCTATGAAAATGAGAGACCTGCTCCGAATGCCTCGGGTTGACTCTCTCCTAGAGACAGATACCTGTTCGAACTCTATTCAATATTCAGGCACCAAGCAAGCTGTTGTGCAATACACACACACACACACACACTCTCTCTCTCTCTCTCTCTCTCTCTCTCTCTCTCTCTGTATCTCTTTATGGACAGCAGCGCCAAGGCAGCTATAACCTCTCAATCCCAAACCCGACAGACCAGCATCTCCAGCCCTCGAAACTTTTGGGCCCAGCAGCAACAAGATGAGCGAAATGACGAAACCCAGCCTGCAGGGCTTGTGTTTCCGGCGCATCTCGAAGATCTGTTTGACCAATCTGGCCACAATGTCTTCCAACGGTTTGGGGATTGGGGGCCGTGGAGTTTTAAGAGCTTGCCCGTAATCCTTCCACAGGCACTGCAGCAGTATCCCGACGCTTCTCGCTCCATTCTTTCAAGCGTCCCGACGTTTCTCGCTCCATGCTTTCAACATCATGGTGCCCGACTCTGATGCCAGCTGCTGACCGTGCATTGCAGGGGGCTTGGGCAGGAATTTACAGCAGCGCGCTGCACATCAGCAGAAGGAAGATATCACACATTCAACTGCAAAGCTTTCCGCATGTACCCGTCATACACTACATCTCTGGTTTGGTCGGTGCAGCAGAACATAGCAGAACCCTAAAATCACTATATCACTAAGAGAGCACCAGCAACCCTGGGCCCTGCGTCCAAAACCCACGACCCGAAGCCCAAATCCGAACCCCTAATCTTAAAGACACTACCATAGAACCTGGACCAGCAAAATACAATCCCATGACAGCCCCTGTCTGCTTGCGTATGCCCCACCACCCTGCCCTAATGTTCAAGGTCCCTACCAGAAATCTCCTTTTGTTCATTACTCCGCGTCCCTGAGCCCCAAACGCTCCCTGAGCCCTAAACACAAGCCTCAGGCGCCCCAAGTCTGCGCAGAAGTCCTCGCCTTTGGGGTTGCTGATCAGCTCCGCCTCAACCCCGGTGTAAAGGCTCGTTCCTTTAAGGGTTCCCTTAACAGGTTCATTCAAGTGTTGTCCTAAGGCTGAGCACAAGGATTGCGGTATTAACAATTCCTTCGAACATGCCAATAATCATTAGTGCGCCTTTGCAAGGTCTTCACACGGTGGTTGACTAAGTCATGGCATCTCTCAGTGGAAAGCCCCGAGTTTCAAGGCCCGGGGTTATGAAACACCGCAAAGTGTTAACGATGTAAGGTGTGTTCTACGGATTACTTACTGGCAAGGCTTCACAAAACTGGCTTAGGCTCGGGGCTGCCTCGGGCTGAAGGTTGAAGGCCGTATGGCTTGAGCGGGGCTTGTAAGGTCTTGGGAAAGGGGGTTGTAGATTCGGGGTCATTTAGAGCGCTGTGGATTCAATCCCTTTTACGGTAAACCCTAAGCCCAAACCTTATAAGATAGGGCCCCATTATACCCCCATTATATATAATAAGGAAACCCCAAAATTGTATTGGTAAGGCCCGGATAGTAATCCTTAACCGAACCGAAGCGCCAGGCCCGAGCGGAGGCTGAACGCCCGAGCCAGTACAGACGTCGGAGCACGGCGCCAGTCACAGCAAAGAGAACCTCAACGTCAAAGGGAGGTCAAATACTAGACCCAGGAGTAGCCTAGCAATAAAAAGGGTGCCCTTTTTGGTTTAAAGGGGGTTATAAGGGAACCTGAACCCTAAAAAAGGGAATAAGGGCTTACTCTGGGGCCTAGAATAGGGTTTAGAGTTCTGGAGGTTTCGGCCTTCAGGGTTTAGAGCTCTAGTATCATTGGCCTTGCAATTAAAACAGGCAGGTTCTAATGGTTTGAGTCGTGGTTTTGGAAGCGCTTTATAGGGTTGATGGCCTTCACGACTAACTAGAATAACAGCATTTGACATTGTTTAGTGTTAGAATATCGCGGCCTAAGTTCATTGAGATTTATTGGGATTCTTTCCCTCCGCGCTGAACCAGGTTGTAGAGTGAGGGTTTAGGGGTTTAGGGGTTTCGGTGCTTGGTGCGCTTCTTGATTTGTAGTTTGTAAGTGTCATCCTTGCGCAGGGGTCATGCTAGTACTATGCGAATCTTCTCTTCTCTATATTCTTGAAAACTTCATATCAGGGTTCTTTTCCGAGAGGGCTTAGGATTTATAGGGTTGAGGGCTTCGGGATTAGGCGCCTAGACGTCTGAGGGCTGACGAAAACAGAAACAGGAGACAGAGGTACTCCTATGGTCTCTGTGGGCGTAGGCGGATTAGACAAAGCCTCATCCACGAATCTGCGATCAAGGTTGTGGGTTCAGGGGTTTAGGAGAGAGGGCATGGAAAGACCCGGGAAGCCCTAACTAGGTTCAGAGGTTTCGCTGATTAAGCCCCTGAAGCGACGTAGCGCAGACACCGAAACCCTACGCTTCAACCTTTAAACTCAAATTCTGTCCCCACGAACTCCGGAAGTCTGCGATTCCTGCCCGACCTTTCCCTACACCCCTGTAACCCGCGAATGCTGTCGACCGGAGTACAAAGCAGCCCCGGCAAAACTGCCAGCGCCGCAGGGAGGAGCAGCCAAACGTCATGCTCCTGTAGCAGATTTGTTCTTACGCGTGGGGTGCATGTGGACGCGCTATGTTTTGTATTTGGGGTCACAAATATTGCGGAAGCAGTGAAGCTTTTTATTGCTGGCTGCCATATCAAAGCCATGGTGGCTTCCAAGTCTAACAGCATTTCGATCGTTCAACGTTTCAGTGCCTACCTCCATCCATGCAATAAAATTGCATCTATGTACGTTGTGTTTCTGTTTTCTTTAACTCTGGGCTGAAATAGCTTCTCTAGGCTATATAGGCTTTAGGGTGATCGTCATAGAATCGAACACGACCCAACCTAAAGCTCGATACGGAGCCAAGCTCCGAGGTCGTTGTCCTCTTTTGGGTCAACTAACATAATGTTAGTTGATGTCATTGGTGCCCATGGCATGGCCCTCACCTCTGCCCTCATCAGTGTATCGACGCAAAGCTCTTTGACCTGGTGGCCGCTGCCCCCATGATCGGGATCCTGCGCGAAACCTTTGTTCATAACTTCCGTGACAGAAAGAGAGACAGACAGAGAGAGAGAGAGAGAGAGTGAGGGAGGGAAACAAAGACGAGAGAGACGGTAAAGAAAGTGAGAGAATAGAGAGAGAGAGAGAGAGAGAGAGAGAGAGAGAGAGAGAGAGAGAGAGCGAGAGTCTGTGTGTGCGTCTGCGTGTGCGTGTTTATGCTGGATGTGCGTGCATGCATGCAAAGAAGGGGGCAAGGGAGGAGAGGAGGAGGGAGCGAGGCCCAGCAAACACTGCATAAACACGCGAAATCCGTCATACCCACAGACCCCAAGCATAAAACCTAAACTCTAAAGCCTAAACTCTAAACCGAAATCGTGAGTCCTAAGCCCTTAGCCCGTCAATCCTGCATCCAAGGACTTTCCTAAACGCCCGGAGTCCCTGCAAATCCATGCCCGGGCCTCCCAGTCTCTGAAGCGACTCTGCGTGCTCCGAAACTGCTTCAGGGTCATTGAGTACCTGAAAACGGAGATACCGGCTCTTTGGAAATCTTTAGAAAGCCAAAAACAGAAAAACGTAAATAGGATGCCAGTGACTGACCAAACAATGGGCTGTTGGATTCAATCGGAAGTCCACAACCCTAACCTTGTAGGGTTCAGTATGCAATACGTTTGTTGTCGGGTTACGGAACCTCCACGTTCAATGACTCGCGTCAGCTATGGAAAGCCTTTTGTTGAACCCGTACTGAGGCCGATGCGCGTGACGGCTTATGTCCTGAAACATCTATGGGCCCTTGCATCTGCAGCACAAGTTTCCTTTCGGAAAGCACTAAAGATCGGCTATGTCATGAAAGCCTCGGCAGACCCTGGGCCCTTCTCGTCCGCGTGCCATTTGTAGGGGACAGGGGTAAAGCCTTTTTACACCTGGACTACGCATATGCCTTAGATCCGAAACAGAATCGCTCCGCATGGTGCCGGGGCACGTGATGCTTCTGCCGGCATCGTGGGAGCCGTCGGGCAGCGAGACCGTGTGGTAATCGAAGAAGTTCTGGTAGAGCCTCAGGAAGGAAAGAGCAAGTTATTTGCGAATCTCAATACTTCGCCTCCAGGTCACGAACATGCAGAGCCTAAGGCCTAAACCGTTACTTCAGCAAGGACTGAGGTGCCGCCCACTGCTTCAGGCAAGAGTTCAAAGATGTCTAGGGTAGATAGCTAGGTCGATCGCATTCGAACTATTTATACGGGTTGTAGCTGGTATCCTAACATTACGACCCTACTGTGGGTCAACATAAGAGCCGTACCGGAACCGCCACATCATGCCGCAAAACTCGAGAAACAAAAAGACCCGAGGTGGCGTCAGCTAGCAAACGAACCGGCGGCAAACACATATACATGTACGGTAACAGGCCGGTAGTTTCGAACCATATGTAGACGCCCCTGTACGTAAAGGCGTCTGTGCGAAACGACCCGTCGGCATCGCCTACTTGCGAGGACAGCGGCTGGCGATAGATAGATGGCTGGATAGAAACAGATGGATCTTTAGGTACGCGACGACCGGCAGATGTACTAACAGATATATAGCTAAGCAAATGGACATGGTACCGATTGCAAAACGCACTGGCCGGTATAACAAAGCTGCTACTGCAAAGAAGAACAACAAACGCCAACAACTACTACAACAAGCACAACCGCAACCACCACCACCACCACCACCACCACCACCACCACCACCACCAATACCACCACCACCAGCACCACCGCCATCAGCACCAGCACCAGCACCAGCGCCAAAAAAAAGCGCCAGCAGCAGCACCGCAGGACCAGCAGCACCAGCACCAGCACCAGAAACGGCACCAGCAACAACACGACCAGCACCACCACCACCACATCAGCAAACAGCAACAGCATTGAACAACAGCAACAACAACACAAGCAACAGCAACAGAAGCATAAGTAAGCACACGCACCGGCGGCAACACTGATGAAGTTGAAGACAAGATCAGCTTCTCGGCCCAGATGCTTCGGCAAAATGTCGTCTATGAGCTCCGTCTCGGAGCACTGCACGGGCAAGCATGCAGAGAAGTCCGTCGTTCCGTGCACGGCCTAGGTAAGTCGGCTAGGGGAGCTTCGAAGAATCAAGGACCCTAATACGGCTCCCAATACAGACCCTCGGTAAATATGAGATCCCATTACTCCTCAACCGAATCCTAACTCAGAAAAACCTATCCCTCAAATGGGGCGGGGTACACTGCGCTCTGTGGATCTGGCCTAGCCGATGTCTCGTTCAGCTGCTTGGGAGCATCGGCTAAGCTGCGGAGGATGCATTGCAGGGCACACCGTGCGACACACATCAACGCCCCAGTGATTGGCCGCTTGCGGGGAAGCCCCATCCCTGGAGCTCAAGCCGGAACCATCAAGCGGTGACTCTACAGGTCTACCCTCGCCCAAGAGAAAATGCAAGGTTTTGGGTTTGGGGAGTAGGTTTCGGAAAATAGAACCCTGAAAAGCAAACTATTGTTCCGGTAATCAAGAAACCTACGTCACCAACCCTTCAGCATAGAGACTCCCTCAAAGGCGTGGTAGAACATCAGGACGAAGTAGAACCGATTTCCTTCCTTTCCAGTCGATTTGAGGCTTCACTGTGGATTGAGGCTCAACTGGATTGCGGCTTACCCTCCGCATCGTTACATCCGGGACACACACGGCAAACTGCAGCGCCTGTCCCATTCCAAAGGGATGCCATCAGGTGGGTCGACAACAGGGGGTAACATGTGACAGCTCAGTGCCAGAGAGAGAGAGAGAGAGAGAGAGAGAGAGAGAGAGAGAGGAGAGAGAGAGAGAGAGAGAGAGAGAGAGAGAGAGAGAGAGAGAGAGAGAGAGAGAGGGGGATAATTACCTTCGTCACATGTACTGCCTTTGCACAGTGCTTTCTGTGAAATGGGTGCATCGAATTTTTCGAATATCAAGCCCACCCGGGCTGCAAAAGATATGGGAGTATTCGAAGCCTTTTTGGTAAGGATCTCGGTGCTAAACTCCCGTAATATGATGCTGCAAGCCTTCTTCTTTCTAGGCCGTTATGCCGCAAACCCACAAGTAGGCAGCTAAAGGCTCCTCGAGGATCGAGGCTTGGCCCGTACAGGGTTGAAGTTTTAGGGTTTAGGGTTTGCAAACTCCTGGAAGAACAGAAGTCCCACCATCTGCTTACTGTAGACTCCTGTAGCGCAAGTGAAAGTCAGTTCCGACCTGACCAGAACCCTGCGAAAACCGTCGGGCCTGCAGGCACACCGTTCGCTCGCCGCGACGGTGGAGGATGTCCCAATTGTGGTCCTGTCGAAGCTAGCGGAATGGGGAATGGCAGGGAGAAGCTGGACGTGGTGGGGGTGGGTTGCTGAGAACATACTGGCATTTATATGTATATGTGTGTATGTATAATGTGTATGTGTGTGTGTGTGTGTACATGTGTGTATACATGCGTATGTAAAAAACATATATATATATATATAATATATATATATATATATATATATATATATATATATATTTTTGCCTCCTGCATGGCTGAGTCGGCGAAGCAGGGTAACAGGTGTACATCCAGGTGAATTCCTCCATCCCTATCTTCAGAGATGAAATTGAACTTCACGCTTTCTTTATATATATATAGAGAGAGAGAGATATATATATATATATATGTGAGGAGAACGTCAAAACAGACAGAGAGATGGTACCCTCCCCCAGACTTGTCCACCGCCAGCTATCCCAAACACTTCTAAGCCAATAACGAGCCGGCTTCAACATGCCAATGAATCAATATGCAACCCAAAAAACATCACTGCGGGGACGGGGCCCAAGATCCGAGATGCTTCAGAAAGCATTTCCGGGAAGTTTGGGCCACCCTCTCGGATTCAGCATGTTCAGTAGTTCTGGTGCTGAAGCAGCAGCCGGGACCCAAGATCCAAGATGCAAAAGAATCGGCATCACCTGGGTTTCAGCGTACTTCAGTGTACTTCAGGATTTTCTGCTGAAATGGGGTCGGCACCGGAGGTTTACAAGTACATGCAGTTATGCAAAGCCAACCTCGTCGGAAGATGCTCCAAGGACATATGCATCCGGGCAGTGGCATTAAGCACATTATCATCTCATAGAGCCGGCAAGCTAAGACATTTTGGCCTGGTTTCGTGTTTCGCAAACAACTAGTTACTGTTTACATACTCTTTACTACTGTAGCGATGCGTGTTCAGTATCAAGTCTAGAGAAAGGCTTTTGGGCCTTAGCTGCTGTGACACTCGTCCTGAGACATCACGGCGCTGAGCTCGCGCAGCCGAACCACCTGGAAAAAGGGAGGCACCTTAACCACCATCACCCTGCAAAAACCGGCGTCGACTCTGGTTTCCATGCATCAGGAAGGACTCTGGTTTAGGGTGCAAGGTTCCAGTTTCGGGTTAGACAGCCCCGACACAAATAAAGTGTTAGTGTAACATAGCCCGAAACCCTGTTCAGGACCCCATTTCACACCACAAGAGCCTTCAACTGTGTAGGTAAGCAAGGAGCAGCCAAATTTTCCAAATCAACGATCCAGATTTACCTGTATGGTTGGGCATTCAATAAGGCTACTTTAAGTTGAGTCAAGAGTTCGTTTTGCCTCCCTTAACTGAGCTTAAAACTCAAAGCTGTAAATACAACGCCTCAAACCTGACATGGTTGAATGATTAGGGTTTATGGGCTCAGGGCTTCGGGTTTAGGCATGTAGGATTTGAGGGTTCAGGATTCAAGGGCCTTATTGGTTTAGGCCTGCTTTCAAACAGCCTGCAGCCATCAAAGTCTCCAAACCCCGAGCCGAGAGATGGGGCGACCTGAAAGCCAGAGCAGCTCTTGCTTTCAAGAAGGGACTTTCAAGTGCTCCGCACTCTTTATCCGGCAGTGTAGGGTTTTCTGAAATTAAAGAAGCTAGACGGTGTTGCATGTTTGGAATACATAGGGGCCTCAATGGTCAGAAGAAGGCTTCAGGGTGTACAAAAACTACTATTCTGCTGTTTTTTTGTAAACTACAAGAACAACTGGGAAAGGAAGTTCTAGATTAAAATACCAACACTACCCTTTGCCTGAATCCAAACAGCCGAAGACCCTGCACCAAAATCCAAACAAACTTCAACCTGAGACAGCTGCCTGCACCCTCAACCTTGCAACCCACGCTAGATTTACAGGTTTTAGTTTTGGGGGTGATCCCCAAGCTCCCCAATCCTTGTTGCAGCCAGCCTGCAAAAGCTCTGCTGGGAAGTAAATGAGCGCCTAAAGCTCCTAAACCCGTAAACCCCCAAACCCCTACTTATAAAGCCTAAAACCTCAAAACTCTCTGAACCCCTAAGTCACAAAAACCAGACGACACCGGAGCGCCTTTGAGCTGAGCTCCTCGAAGCCTTGAACTTCTCAGAGGTTCTGTAAGATTTACAACAAGGAATACTACAAGGGCTACTACAAGGAATACTTGAAGCTTATGGGGGTAGGGCTGACAGGGAGGCTTTACGCTCTCACAACTCGGACACAGCCAGGCGAGTTTCACAGGTGCAGAGTCGGTGTGAAAAGTGCTTCGATGGGTTCTCTCTTGTACGGGAGGCGTTAGAGTTGCCTGCTTGAGGTCATAGGGTTTGGGCTTCTTCAAGCTACGAGTTTCGGGTATATCGCCCGGACCACAGAACAGGGAATAACGATCGGCGGCGAGTGCTCGAGATCTTTGGGGCTCATGATTTCGTACCTTCGGCTTGAGGGAGTTGATCCCGTGAGCGCCAAAACGACAAGTTAGCCAATTAAGTAAACTGACAGTCGTTCGTTTTCTGCTGTTGCAAAAAATGTACCTACATGCACATGCACATGAACGCAGGCATACCTAGATACATGCATGCATGTACACCTTCGAAGGGAAGGAAAGTTGTTTACATCTCGCCAGCTCTGCACCCTGAGCTTTGAGCCGGTAAACCTACAATTAAGTACACAATCTCTTTGTCGATAACACCTTGTGGTGCAACAGAAAGGAACATAGATTTTGAAAGAACACCCAGAAGCATTCTTGGCTGGGATCTGCCAGTACAGGGAAGAGTGCAGCAGCCAAGCTGAGGACCAGAAGGCATGGCGGCTGCATAGCAGTGCTAGGGGTGTGCTATACGAGTCCTAGACTGGTGTTGTAAAGGTTCCATGAGGGTTCTATCAGGGTTTAGGGCTTCTGGCTTAAAGCAGATCTGGGATGTTTTTTCCCTCCTACCTAGCAAGGACGAAGCCCGCATTGCAGGGTGTTGGGTTCGGGGGTTGACTCTCGCTCTCCACGACATGAGGCGGGGGTTCGGGAAACTTGGGCCTTTAGGGGTCCAGGAGGTTGAGGATTCTAGACATCGTTCAGGGTAGCTTTCGGTGTTGAGGTCTGCCTGTGCCTTATGTTCATATGGTTTCTCCTGCACGCCTGAGCGAGCTGCGGCTGCAACGAGTCTGTGGCAGCTACCGATATGAGCCACATGTCGGGTCGGAGTCTGTCGTCTGTAGACGTCGTTTAGGCTTTGGGCTAGTCTTGCTGCTGATCTGCAGAATCTATCGACTTTGCAAAGAGATGTCGTCTACTGCTGCCAGTCTTCCGCCTCCTCCTCGCCTGCTCCTTCTCCTGCTCCTGTTCCTGCTACTGCTGCTACTACTAAGTACTTCTTCTTCTGCTGCTGCTGCTGAAGTTCGTACTGGTACTGCTGCTGCTACTGCTGACCCGTGGTGGTGGGCTCGGAGGCAATGTTCGTCTGCTTCAAAGCAGCACGAAGAACGAACTGTGACGACCCTCCACCTGGAGGAGAGCCCAAAACACAAAATGCTCAGAAAGCAAATCCACTTTCGAGAAATCCAGTTAAAGCGAACCCTAAACTCTTTGGACCAAATCCAAATCTCGTTCGAACGATGCCTTCCCTTCCATTGAGCGATCCTCATACCGAGAATGAACTCCTTTCTCGATTTCCAGAAGGTCCAGCCGCTTCGTTTTAGGGTTCACTTTCCCTAGACCCTAAACTCCATACCCTTGCCAGCTCAACCCTAAAGCCTGTACTTTCGGCTGATCCCGATACCCTGCGCCCTACACACTTTCCAGCTCATTCCTAAGCGGTAAACCCTAGACCCTACTCGGACACGATACCGTAAACTATAGCAGCTATAGCATAGGGTAATATACGATGATATACCATAAGATACTACTAGTGGCAGTATGAGGTACTAGAAGATACTGTGTGCTACTCTTCCACGCGATAGTTTACTATGTTCTCCTTTTCGATACTACAAGATACGAATCTACAAACCCTGAACCCAACTCGGACTGCGTCCTGCAGGTATTGACGGAAGCTCAAGAGCATCTCCTCTTCTGTTTCGAAGGCATGGACGTGGCATCCTGGGCTTTCTTTTGAATTGAAGGTGTTTGGGTGGTTCTACTAGTAGGGTCATTCGGAGGGTAGCTAGGGGTTCTCAGTGCTTGTGCTGGGCTTTGAGCTGCGTCTTGACATGAGGGACAGCCCTGCTTCTAATTCCTCAACGCCAACGGCATCCAAATCAACACTGACAGAAATCTAAACAAAATCTCCATAAGGCATAGCCTGTTGACGCTTGCATAGGGTCCTCCCATTTGTTTGTACTTTTCGAGTGTCTAGAGTGCTTGGATTTTAGAATTTAGGTTGTTGGGATGAGAGCGGTAGGACTGGACAGTCGGTACGTTCTTGGTACTCGTAGGTTGCCACTCTATGATGGGGGTCTACATGACAAGTATCTGTTCCAACACTGAATCCTGGCCTGACTGTTTTTGCTTCGGTGCCGTCGTGGGGTCTTCTTTCTTTCTGTTAACTTTCAGCTACTGCCTCTTCATGTTACCAGGTATCCCCTTAACCTCAAACCCCAAAACGCGACATCCGGGAGCCTCTATACCCAACAAGTAACCCTGCGGGCGGCCTGCGATTTCGTTGCAAGTGTTCAACGTCCACACCGCATGGTTAAGCCTTGGAAGGTGTTGGGTATGCGTGCGTGTATGCGTGTATGCGTGTCTGCGAGTGCGTGTCTGTGTGTGTGTTTGTGTGCGTGCATGTATGTGTGTGTGTGTGTGTGTGTGTGTGTGTGTGTGTGTGTGTGTGTGTGTGTGTGTGTGTGTGTGTGTGTGTGTGTGTGTGTGTGTGTGTGTGTGTGTGTGTGTGTGTGTGTGTGTGTGTGTGTGTGTGTGTGTGTGTCTGTGCGTGCATGTGTGTGTATATATATATATACAGATAAACACATATATACACATATGTACACCTACAAGTTGCGTGGATGGGCAAAGGCTTGCTGTCAGTATGTCAATTAATGGTACTCTAAAAGTTAGTCCGGAGTTGTTCCAGAGTCTGGTGAGGGTACTTATTCTGGCTTGCAATGTTATTTCGAAACATGTTCCTGACCATATTTCTTTCTGAATGCAAACCTAGCGCACTACTATTCAATGGATGTGGCATGCAGCAAGATCTCGAACGTGCTGGACATGTGGACGGGGCATGCACCTCCTTAGTTTTTGTTACCGATTTACACTCTGGCGTCCACCGGTCGCTAACGGAAAACTGTCGCCTCGTGCTGAAGTGCAAGCTCTGGAAAGGGGTTTCGTGACTCGTATACAAAGACATGCCCCAGCAGCCTGTTAGCAGATTTTCAGCAGCCACAGATCCGATTCAGATTTGTGACCGGCAGCCTGTGCCGCTGCAACTCCGAATGCTTTAGTCCATCCTTCTCGCTTTTGCAGAGAGCTAACACATATATACGTCTACAGATCTGTACATCTATACATGGTGGATAATCTACTTATCTATGATCAGATTGCATAAGTGCATATATGCCTCTTTATGTGTACATGATATATGCGCATGTATGTATGCATGTATGTATGCCTGCTATTGTATGCATGTATGCATGGATGCACATATGTCTTGTATGTAATGTCTGTAATCTATTCATGTATATAAATGCACATATATATATATATATGTGTGTGTGTGTGTACATACATACATACATACATACATACATACATACATATATATATATATATATGCGCACGCATGCACGTGAGCACTATGATGTGCACCGGCGAATAATACATAAATGAAACATAGTTTAATAGATAAATAAGTATATATATATATATAGGGTACATACATGTATATACAGATAGACAGACAGACAGACAGACGGACGGACAGACGGACAGACGTATAGATAGGTAGATAAAGCAAAAACTGCATGAACCTTACAGCGAGAATGACAGACAGACAGGCCGACGGACGACCGACCGGGCGGGCGAGCGGGCGGGCGGACAGAGACAAAAGAGAGCGAGCGAGAGCGACAGCGAGAGAGACAGAGACAGAGCGAGAGAGAGAGAGAGAGAGAGAGACAGAGACAGAGACAGAGCGAGAGAGAGAGAGAGAGAGAGAGAGCGAGACAGAGAGAGAGCGAGACAGAGAGAGAGCGAGACAGAGAGAGCGAGAGAGAGAGAGAGAGAGAGAGAGAGAGAGAGAGAGCGAGACAGAGAGAGAGAGAGAGAGAGAGACAGAGAGAGAGAGAGAGAGAGAGAGAGAGCGAGGGAGCGAGGGAGCGACGGAGGGAAAGATGGATAGACAGGCCCCAAGGTGTCGCAATGCGGTAGGCTCCGAGACAGCGGTATCTTGCATTTCAGCCCACATTGATGGTGTCTACCCTCAACCCTACACCCTTCAACAAAATGGCATGGCTTTCCGTCAATGCTCAAAACCAGAGCCCAAAATCTACCAAGCTCCAGAATCCCCGTAAGGTGACCTTAGCCCTAACTGTCGAACCCTCAACCCTCATGCATCGACTTGGGCGACAGCGGCTTCTCGCAACCCTGAACCTCCGGGAGCCGGCAGAGGGGGGGCTCTATCCTATGAGCAAATTATAATGGACTGTACCCCACAAAGCCGACGAAACAAGCCTCCTCATTCCGATTCTTCGCAACCCCTTCGCAAGCCGATCAGTGACTAACAGACAACAGAGGTTGCGGGCGTGGGCACTGCGGATGTTAGTGCCATTTCCATTCACCGCAGAACTCTGTGGCGGGTTTGGGGTTGAGGTAAGGTTCAGGGAATGCGAGTCCCCCTCCACCCGCAATCGCCAGACTCAGCTAGACCTTCTCCGCACTGCGCCTATGCTAATGAAGACCGACCCCACAGGAGCCTTGAGGTACACGGCAATCTGGATCACGGGGCTGCTTTCGGCTTTGGGGAAGCCCTGCATCGAGGCAGCCGGGGCTAAGGATTGGCTCCTTCCCCAGACTTACATGCAGGGTGTTCCGCCTCTGGCCCGACAGTCGATACGGCTAGCCACCAGTATCAAAGGAGCGAATCTTCACAGGATCCTGCCCGCACCATGGCATCCTACACCTCCTGAGAACTCTAAGGTGTATCGTGCCTTGCCCTCCGGGTTGTAACACCTGAAGTCGGGAGCTTTGGTAAGGTCGCTTGCGGCTTGGAGTGTCGAGGTCGAGCATTCGAGAACCAAGATGACCGTGCACAACCGACCCAGCACCCAAGCAGTGCACAAAGGATCCATGAAGTGGCCCTGCAGATTCAAGTTACAGGGGGTGAGGCCTCATTTCTAACATAAGAGGTTAAGACGGTTAAGAGGGCTAGCTGCTTCGGGGTTGAGGGTTGCTGGCTTAGGGTGATGAAAGAGTGCTTAGAGCTTCCTTGCTTGAGTTCTGGCCTCACTGTTGGAGTGCTTCCCCTACGTGTGCGAGTGCACATGTACTTACTCGTGCGAGCTACGGTGCAGCTGTTGACAACACCCCCCCCCCAAGGCCAAAGCCCTGAACCCGAAATACCGCTTCGACAGACAACTTCCACTGGTCAGAAAACACTCCCGGAATGGAGGGGCTTGTCAGAACTTGGCTTCCGTGAAATCGGCACATTGCGCTTACGACGAGGCTTGCTGCCGATGGAACTGACATAGTTCGGATGGACTGTAGACCCGATCTTGCGCTCGACTTGCAAGTCACTACGTAATTACAGGCGATCCTTCTGCCGACCACTGTGCTGACTTAGGCAGCCGCTCGATATCGAAGGACAGAATTCGCAAGGGCGCAATGTGAAGCTTCTCCTGTGCGCAGAGCTGGCGAAGCTTCGAGCACCGAGGTATCACCAGTTTGGGATTCCGGTTGTGGGTTCCGATGCCCGCGCATAGGTTAGAGTTTAAAATTGAGCTGCAGTTCAGCATTTAGCGATTCACCGTGTCCTTGGGTCCCCACATGTCTGTTCGGCCATACTGTTCGGGGTTTAGGATATGGCTACTGGGTTTTCGTTGCTTGGCGTTCAAAGTTTGATTTTCCGGCCAGATCTTGTGAAGCGAATCTTTCTCCAACGCCCGGCACCGACGACTCGAAGGCTGCACATGAGCTAGGTTCGTCGACATCCACAGACCGAACAGCCTTCAGCAACAAAACACACCTGGATCATCCAATAGCTCAAAAATCCGCTGCAGAAGCCAAAGCCCGAACCAAACCCGAAATCTGCACCATTCTGCACACTATACCCTCTGCTTGTTCTTTCTGTTGTTACGTGTGCTCCTAAACAGTTGTCAAGAATTACAAGCGCGGAAAAGTGTGTACGTGTATGAGCACATATCTACATATCGTTTTATCTATGTATCTGTCTGACTATCTTTGCACACACAGAAATACTGCAAATACACAACTTTTGCCTTACAAGTTTATGCTCAACCTAGGGAGGGAGAGGGAGAGAGAGAGAGAGAGAGAAAAAAAAACAAAGAGAAAAAAAGAGAAAGAAAAAAGCGTGCGCGTGTGTGCATGTGCATGTGTGTGTGTGTGTGTGAGTGTGTGTGTGTGTGTGTGTGTGTGTGTGTGTGTGTGTGTGTGTGTGTGTGTGTGTGTGTGTGTGTGTGTGTGTGTGTGTGTGTGTGTGTGTGTGTGTGTGTGTGTGTGTGTGTGTGTGTGTGTGTGTGTGTGTGTGTGTGTGTGTGTGTGTGTGGGTGTGTGTGTGTGTGTGTGTGTGTGTGTGTGTGTGTGTGTGTGTGTGTGTGTGTGTGTGTGTGTGTGTGTGTGTGTGTGTGTGTGTGTGTGTGTGTGTGTGTGTGTGTGTGTGTGTGTGGTGTGGGTGTGTGTTGTGTCTGAGTGTGAGTGTGAAGTGTGTGTGTGTGTGTGTCTGTGTCTGTGTGGTCTGTGTGTCTGTGGTGTGTGGGTCTGTGTGTGTCGTGTGTGTCTGTGTGTGTCGTGTGTGTCTGTGTTTGTCTGTGTTGTGTGTGTGTGTGGCTGTGTGTGTGTGTGTGTGTGTGTGTGTGTGTGTGTGTGTGTGTGTGTGTGTGTGTGTGTGTGTGTGTGTGTGTCTGTGTGTGTGTGTGTCTGTGTGTCTGTGTGTCTGTGTGTCTGTGTGTCTGTGTGTCTGTGTGTGTCTGTGTGTGTGTGTGTCTGTGTGTGTGTGTGTCTGTGTGTGTGTCTGTGTGTGTGTGTCTGTGTGTGTGTGTCTGTGTGTGTGTGTCTGTGTGTGTGTGTCTGTGTGTGTGTGTGTGTGTGTGTGTCTGTGTGTGTGTGTGTCTGTGTGTGTGTGTGTGTGTCTGTGTGTGTGTGTGTGTGTGTGTGTGTGTGTGTGTGTGTGTGTGTGTCTGTGTGTGTGTCGGTCTCCGTCTGTCTGCCTGCGTATACTTTTCCATTTTTGCCTTCATTCAAGGTTCAGGGGCCTCTGGCATCAGCTTGGAGTAGTGCATGTCGATTTCGATCTGACAGGTGCTCACGCAGTCAATGCCTCAACACCAGGTGCTCTGACAAGGCTTCTGTACGCACGTATGCTTGGAGTCTTGGAGATTGTTGTAGAGGATTAATATAACGTTCATGAAGCTCTTTACACCGAAATCATGTGTGCACTTTTGCGGGTTCTGTTACCTGCTCCACAACGCTTCTTGGTAGTCAAGGCCGGTCTTTGGGCGACCCGCCCTTCACGGGTCACAATAAACCGCACAGCAAGCCAAAATAAAAGCCTGATGTGAATCTCCTTTACAAGCTTTACGAGGCCCAAACAAACGAATAGAAACTGCCTATGACCACTATCACTGCTTTCATATTGCGATTACTGGCGCGTGAATTTGTTGTTGCAATGGCGATTATTTACGAAGTAGCTACAGCCACTACCACTACCAACACCAAACCACTACTACGAAGACTACTCCTCCTCCTGCCACTATTACAACTACGACGACGACCACGAATACTACCTTATACTACTACTGCTACTGCTACTGCTACTGCTACCACTACCGCTAACGCTACCGCTACCGCTACCGCAACTGCTGCTACTACTACAACTACTACTACAACCAGTACTACTCCTACTGCGCCCACGTATTGCTCACGTCTACTACTACTATACTACTACTATACTGACTATACTACTACTACTACTACTACTACTACTACTACTACTACTACTACTACTACTACTACTACTACTACTACTAAGCGAAATCAAGCGAGGTGTAGTCACGGTGCGAAAGGCATGCTAAAGGTTCTACCCCTAGCAACAAATGCCGTAACTCATTACATCGTTACATTAGAGACCCGGATCAAACCAAAATATCTTCGTATGCTGTCGTATGCAGATTCGTTTGCGTTGTTCTGTATGTTTTCATGGCGCATGAGGACGCCCTAGACAACAAACGCTAGACATGGGCCGAAGCTTGATGGTTCAGGGTGAGTTGTAGGTATCATAGGAGTAGTAGTCGTCGCCGGAGTCGTAGTAGGAGTTGGTGTAGGACTGAATCATGAGTATCTTTCTATTCTTAGTAAGTAGAAGTGGGAGTTGGAGTAGCAGCAGTAGCAAAGCGGTAGCAATTGTAGTCGTCGTAGTAGTAGAGTAGCAGTAGCAGCAGCAGCAGTAGTAGTAGTAGTAGTAGCAGTAGGAGTAGTGGGAGTAGTAGTATTGGTAGTAGTTGTAGTAGTAGTAGTAGAAGAAGTAGTAGTAGGAGTAGCAGCAGCAGCAGCAGCAGTAGTAGTAGTAGTAGTAGTAGTAGTAGATCACTTTGTTGGTACACCTTGCTGGTCCATGTATACAACTTCAATACGAAGACGGTCTCCACCCGAGTTGCTAATTGCCGGGCCTGAATACACGAAAAGTATTCGCAGCAGTTCCTGAGGGTTTCGGCGGTTGGTGGCTTCGTTAATACAGCGGTGGGGTGCTTACCAGTCGTGACGTGGACTGGCTTCGGCTCCCGCTGAGAACACTAAAACCATAAGACGCTGAACCCCAAATCCAAACAACCCTGGGCCCTTATTCGGCCCCTACAGTATCCTACAGTACAACCCTTTCAAGACCTTGATGGACCCTTGTCAGACCCTGACGGATGGATTCCTTTTCAAATCCGCAACAAACAGCCCTAGACCAGGGGCCACACTCGGTCGGCGGAAGCCTTCCGTGGCACGAACCCATCCGCCTCCCACCAGCTCTTGGTCCTTGGTTTCGTGAGGCAAGGCGAAAAGAAGGGAATTCAGGGAGGTTTTGGCTTCGGGTTCTTGGGATGTTGTTGCGTTTGGCTCCGGGCGTGAGGTTGCTTTGTGTCGATCACTTTCAGGGTAGGGAATTACAGTTTTAGGACGTTTAGCAGCTTCCGTTTTGCGCCGTTCTATTGAGCCATCGGTAGCATCTCGGGAGCAGCTTCAAAGGTTGGATCCTCATTTCATGCTCTGGGAAATAAGATCCTAGCACTCGAACCTGTTTAGCTAGAATGCGGCTAGGATATATGTAAATGGGGTATCTTATACTCTTGAGGTGGCCTTGGCAACGCGGCTCCCAAGTTTCAGAATCACATCTCAATCTTATATCAATCTTGGGGGTCCCTTGCGGAAAGAAGCCCACAGACTTCCTGCAAGGACCCTAAACCCTAAACCCTAAACCCTCAACCCTAAACCCTCATTAAGGAGTGACGGATCGAAGGCTTCATGGAAATCACGAATTTGAGGTGTTGAAGAGGCGTAAACTCGAAGCTCTGAGTCCCCGAATCCCCGAAGTGGTCCCTAAATACCTAATAATATAATAACAATATTAATATAATAACAATAATAATAACAATAATAATAGCAATAATAAAAAGAAGAAGAATAATAATAATAATAATAATAATAATAATAATCATCTGCTGAGATGCGTCCTTTCAAGTTTGATTCGTCAATATCGGGGTCTCGGGATTCCGAGTGCAGGAAGTTTGCTGTTTCAAAGGAATCGGGTTTCTGGCGCGCTCCAGGATTCATAGATTCAGCGCGCGTGGCAGGCTCGAAGATTGAGCATTTACTGGCCCCTCCGTGGGGTTGCAAAGGGTTGAAATTTCCCTCTAAAGGCTGATTTGCTCTGATACCAGTCCCACGCACCCTACCTCCACCCAGTGCACTTTTTGGCTTCACCCGAAGCAAGCGCGCCGTCTCAAGATGGCCGTTGTCGCATGCGCCCATCAGCGCGGTGATGCTGGTGACGCAAGGTCCCAGTGCTTCGATGTCAGCTGTTGCCTGCAGCAGAAGGCGAACGATCTCAACGTGGCCGTGGGTAGATGCCGAAATCAAGGCAGTATCCCCCCCGCTGTCGATCACGCATGCGTCCGCACTCGCTTCCAGTAGCAAGCTGAACATGGCAAAATCACCGCCGCGAGCGGCAAGCATAAGGGCTGTCCTCCCATAGTTGTCTTCGATGTCTACATTAGCACCGGCCTTCAGCAGCAAGCGCGCCACTCTTTCTCGGCTGGTACTCGCAGCGTGAATCAGCCCTTTATCTGAATTTACAGGCCTGCCAGCTGCCAGCAACATCTCGACGACCTCAACGTGGCCGTGGATGCATGCAAGGCCAAACTCCCTCCCGCCCTGGGCGCCGGCAAACAGTAGTAGCCGAATAACTTCAGCATGACCCCGGGCAGAAGCGTGTTCAAGAGCGGTGTTGCGCATTTGGTGGTCAGCGGCATCAAGGTTGGCCCTGCACTCCAAGAGGAAGTGCACGACCCCAACATGGCCCTGCGAAGCTGCAGAAATCAAAGCTGTTCTTCCGTAGTATGACTGCCTGTCCTTGTCGGCACGGGCTTCGAGCAGCAAGCGCAGCGTCTGCAGCTGCCTGGATCGTTCAGCTAAAGTAGCTTAAAGCATCGGCCTGCAGGCTAGAGGCGATCCAACTTGCTATGCATAAAAAAGTCCAAAACACAATGTGCTGCCTTTGAAGGCAACCTGGATACCCTTGTCCGGCAGAAGAAACAAGCTCTTCAGCCACTCCGGCCGACTTTGACAGTTCATCTGAAAGTGGAGTCCTTGGCTGTCAGCGCATCTCAGGCTGGCATCTCCTCATACGTCCACGAAGTCTGGAACGAAAAAACCCCCCAAAACCAGACCCAAGAGGCAAGATCAGCTGCAAATCCCAAGGAAAGCGCAAGGGGCACTGCGGGTCCAAGCTGCCGCCGTCGAGCACCAGCGTCTGAGTGTGTACTGGGAAGCCATACATGCTTCGCAAGACAGTCTTCAATGTGTAGATGTTGTCACCGCACATATCCTTCTGCTCTATCGCGACCAGCTCCTCTCCCGAAATCTTGTAAACACGGAGCATACCAGTCAAAACCGGCACACACTCCGGCTGGAAGTTGAGAAGCCGTTCCAAGAGGCTGGCATTGCCGACCCTGGTCACTGCATTACCCAAGTCTAGAAGCTTGCTGAACGCATTTTGCGTAAACAACTTCATATACATCAACAGATAGATAGTTTAAACAAATAAAACGAATGTGAATGTGTATATGCGTGCATGTCTGTAAGTATCTGACTTCTCTGCGTCTTCCTACTGTGTGGAAGAATTTTAGTGCCATGTTTTTGGGTTGGGCTGTGTGCAACATCTTGGAACATCACGCTCGATGTCGCGCCCTTGTGCAACAAATTCTTGCGGACTGCACTTGATGTTGATGCACAAACCGAAGTGGCGACATCAAGCGGAAAGTAAAAATCCCTCGCATGGACGCCCTGGCAAGTATTTACCTCACACCGAACCGTGGATCTTCGGGTTTTGACACTTACAGCTTTAAGACTTGGGATTTACTTTCATGTCACAGCCCTGCGCATGAAGGAGTTGACGAATCAATTATGCATAGATCCCCTATACCTGTATTATACGAATGCCATGTCGAGGCCCTATTGGAATCAATATATAATACGGCCCTCGCAGTACCTACCAAATCCACTATGAAGGTCTTTGTGCAAGCTGTTTACAGACCCTACATCGGGCGTCTTTATGTCTATGTTCTCTCCTCACGCTGACGGCATATCAAACGATCACCCCCACCCACCCGCCCGCACAACCAAGTAGGTTTGAAGTCAGCAGGAGAGCAGGAATCCTATGAACTTGGCAGAAAGGCCCTCAGCCATTCGTTGAAACCATACAACTCAAAAACATTCTGGCGATTGTCGGAAAAAGCCGGGCCAGGAAGCATCTGAACCAGCTCTGGCTGAAACCCTACACTCAAAACCCTGAAGCCCTAAATCAGGAAACCCAGCGCCGGCTTTGAGCCCTAGGCGGCCCCACAACAAGTCAAACATAAATGTCAAGCCTGGAACCCCACACCTTGAATGTTCAATCAGCGGCTGCAGTCTAGACTCTAGACCCTTTACGCGAAAGCCTTGGAGAATCCTTACAAGACCCCCACAAACTGGGCCCCTTCTCTGGGAGTCTTGCGATCATGAAGCGCAGAGCAAAGGGGATGTTCGTCTCGTAAGACCTGGGGCAGCCTAATATAGCGGCCTTACTGAAACCATGACAGTGGGGCTTTTCTATCGTGTTTTTAAATGTTAAGGAACCATTCAGGATGCTAGTGGTACCTAGTCAGGTAGCTTTACTGAGAACGACGTGACCGGCCTCAGGGCCCGGGGGCGGGGGCCTTGTGATTTACTGTAGGCCTCTTCTAAGACTGTGAAGGGCTTTCAATCCAGAGCTTGGCAGGCATTTAGGGCTTTTTGGCGGGTCTGGGACTTTGAACCCCTACCTGTAATCCGGAATACCTACATGATCGGAGTCTTCGCTCACACTCGGACGATCCAGGCGAGGCATGTGGCTCGAGGTCAGATGGTTGCTTGGGTTATAGGATATGTTTTTTGGGTTACAAGTGGGCCCTGTACTCTGAGATCTAAGGACCAGACAGGTGCTCTGAAGACAAGGCTTTGCAGTTCACGGTGTAAGGTCTCATAGACTTATAGATTTAGGGTTTCGGCTCGTGCTCTCGCGCAATGCAGGCAGGGAGCCAGCAACAAGTTGAGTTTGGGGTTTAGGGTTGGGTCTTAGAGTCATTCTTGGTGGGTCAGGGGGCTTTGTAACACCGGCCAGCCGCCTCACTCTTACTTCCCGGTCGGGGTGCTTCCTGAACCTTCCTACACAAATTCCGGGAGCTCACACCTGGATCCACATGTCACATGTCCACATGAGACCTGGGTCTATGCCTTAGACCCAGGCCACGAGCCAATCCGAGCCCTAAACCTAGATCCCTCATCCCAAATCTGCAAGCCCTAAACCCCAACGTCCCCAAACCTTTTTCAGCACCTTGAACCCCAAACGGTGTGCTGTGCTTTGAGATCTCTGCGTGCTCGGCGCGAAGTAGCCCTTCTCCAGTCGGAATCCGGCCTCGCGCGGTTTGGAGCTTCTCTTTTCTTGTGGAGGGTGGGGTTGGGCGCTTTACGGCTTTGGAATTACTCAGGCTTTAGGGTTCCACGGTTTCTCTCTCTCTCTCTCTCTCTCTCTCTCTGCCACGGTTTAGGATTAAGTATTTGGGCAGGACTTCTCTATGGCGTAGGATTTGGGGCTCGAGGGCTTGAGGATGGGGTTCATGACCCTTTTTACAAAGGCTTGACTGGAGAGGTTCCCCTCAGCACACTGGTTAATGACACATAAAATCCTGAACCTGAAGCCCTGAACCCCTTGCAACTGGCTTGCAACGTCACGCCAGGACAGCTGACTCGTGCCAGGCTACACTCGTGACAGCCTAAACCCTGAACCGTAAACCATTCCTCCGCCTCATAGTTTGACGCTTAAATCTCAAGCTCTAGGCGCGCAGTCTTTGGGGTGCAGGGTTTCGTTCAGGCCGCTTCGGAGCTGTAAGATTCTGAAACTCTTGCGTTTCAGGAAGCCTGGTAACCCTCAGCCCTCAACCCTAAAACCCTAAGTTGGGTGGTTAGATTTCTCTGTTGAGGCCCGCCCTGACTGAACCCGAAGCCCTGACTCCTAAAGGTAATCAGACCAGCATCACGATGGCCTGACTGTGCGTTTTGGAAAGCCAAGCATAAGTTCGTGTTGCTCCAAGCTCTTTGTTTGGGTCAGATGGTGTCGGGTTTTGGGCTCAAGAGTTTCAGGGTTAAGGCCTCAGGCATCCTGGACCAGCAACTCAAGAACAATGAGGAAGAACATCCGCAAACTCAGCTTTTGCCAGTAGCTGGGCAGAATATCGGACTCATCCTTCCGCCTCGATCATCCTGCGACTCGTCGCCACCAGACTCGGCACTGCTACCACTACGCGCCTTGGAACGAGGGTTTGAGGCCTAGGGTGAATAGGCTCAACAGTCTGTGCACAGCCGCCTGTTGAACACAAGAGGAAGTCAAATTGAAAGTCTCTGAGTCAGTCTAGATTCGTGCACACGAGAGGTACCCCAAAAGTCCCAGCCCAAATGCGTTTATCGGCAAAGTGGCTGTATACTAGGTGTTGTACTTTGATCTCCTATCATTGAGCCTATCATGACAAGGTTGAACAGGATGTAGGGTCTAGCGGCCCAGTGAAGGTTTCAAGCTTGCAGTGCCACTGCCCTAAGACGGGGGCCTGCATGTTTGAACAAAAGAAACTAACTAAGTAAATACAAATAAAGAAACCCGTCTCCCGTCTCTTTCTTTCACTGGGCCTAGAAGGCAGGCACGCCCGTCTGTTGGCTGTCTGTTTAGGTTCCGTCAGGTGACGCTTGCTCGTCTAGGACGATTGGCTCAAACTGAAACTGCTCGGCTTCTAGACTGAAGAGTACTGCCCAATCGCCCCGAGAAGTAAAGGAGCCCGCCAACCCTAAACAACAGCAATGCCGCCATTGTAAGACTTGTAAGACTCTCTCGCTCTCTCTCTCTCTCTCTCTCTCTCTCTCTCTCTCTCTCTCTCTCTCTCCTTTCTCCCGTGAGAGAGAGATGGGGAGAGGGAGGGAGCGAGCGAGCGAGCGAGCGAGCGAGAGAGAGAGAGAGGGAGAGAGAGAGAGAGAGAGAGAGTTATGCAACACATGTGTGTGTAATATAAATGTGTGTATGTATACACATATCTTTGCTATAACGGGATACTAGTGCTCAATTACTCAGAGCTCCATATTATCACAAGCCTTCTGCTTCAGGAACTCACAAGTCATACCGGGGAGTTGAACGTCGTGAGGTTCATTGGGTCACAAAACCCAAAACTTCTAGCAGGACTCTCATTATCGAAGGCCTCGAACAAACAAACCACTAGGGCAACAGTGCGCGCAAAACCTTACACCGTACGCCATAAACCTCCCCCCCCTTCCACACCCCTACTCAATCTTCCAGAGTCTTGCTGCACGAGGCGCAGGAAGCAGGAGTGCTCGTTCGAGCCCTGCCAGCCTCGATCTGCTGAGGGTTGAGGACTTTTGGTGGCACTCGCAGTCGATAGTATCCGGCGAGGGTGAGGACTTTAATGAGGGTGTACGCTCTCGCATGCGAGTACGTGTTACTTCTCGAAATTCTCGGTTGCTGGTGGACCATATTTGATTCGCCCACTTTTAGCGCTTAGGGCGTTTGCATTTAGAGTGGGCATTTAGGTTTATAGGCTCCTTTTTGCTGATGGGCTCAAACCTCAAAGCCTTTGACCTTCTCTCTCTCTCTCGCTCTGAGCAGGTTTCTTTCATAGCACCTCTGTGGAGGATTCGCAAGGAATAAATGGAAATACTTCAACCCTAACTAAGCCTGAACCCTTTTCAGCAAGATCTTCTCGCTCTCGAACCCACCATGTGCCACGCAAAGGTTGAGGCAGTGGTGGTCCCTTTCTTGGTGGCGAGGGAAGCAGCGTCGTCCCTATCTTGATGACTTGCTCGGCTCCAAAAGCCTGTACTGCGTACTTTTTGAGTGGCGGCCCCTTTGGTGGTGGGGGCACGTGTTCGGTGGCAGTGTTGGTTGAAATTGAAGGGTCAGCGGGATGGAGGGCTGAAAGGGTTGAACGCGCTGAAAAGGTGGAGGGATGAGGGGAGGTTGGAGGCGTGGGATGGAGTTGGAGGGCTGGAAACCTTTCAACATATGGAACGTGTTCAACAAGTCTTTTACTCTACCTCTGTGACGGCTCTGCCTGGGCCACCATTCACATGTAAGAAGACCACCGAAACCCCAAAACCCCAACTCCTCAAGCTTTTTGCGTCCAAGCCTGCGACAGCCTGTGCTGGGAACCAAGCCACAAGCTTGCAGCAAACCTTCAAGTCTACACCCCGAAACCATAGCTGAGGACTTCTTCTTTCTTTTTGGTTCCTGGCCTTCTGACTGGTGCTCAATGGGGGGGGTGGAAGAGCGGATCCTCACAATAATTCTTTCAGTCGTCCTTGAATTCTCCCCTCCCCTGGTGCCTGAACCCTCAACCCTAGGCGTAGGCCATGCGGTTTCCCCCACCTCGCTTTTCGTGACCAGCTTGGGCTCCCGGGGCAGGTGCTTTTGTAGATATCAGGGGTGCCCTTACAATTACCCTTCCTGAAGTTTGTGGCTTCAGCATCGCAAGTCAACGCAAGCATGGCAAGTCTTTGAGTCGGACTAAAGCTCCCAGCATGCAGCAAGAAAGCCGGGGCCGCGGACTCGATTCTAAGGTACGGTAGCATGTCTTGTACAAAGTCTGAACCGCCCCTCCATGGCACACAGGCATTCATCGAGTGCGACAACTGCAACAACACTCCTTATTGCCTGGGCCGAAGTGCTTGCATGGGTGTGGCCTGTTTCTCTTGCCTTCGCTGTCCATATTACACGGCCTATGCAAGTAGAATGGGGCATCGGGCAACTCTACTACAATGTCTTGAATATAGCTGGGTCAGAAAATCCGCATGGATGGCATCACAAGCCATTTCCCTCCGAGCGGCGCATGATCGTAGACTTCTGAACCATCTCGACCTTGCGCACATAAGGGTTCGCCTTGTCCCGACCTGAGGTGACGGCAAGGTTGTCGTAGAATACTTATCATCAGCATGACCTAGTAGTTGGCAATGAAAATTCTGCTTTCACAGGCACGGTTTCGGGCTTAGGGTTTCGAGCCTTTAGATGAGGTCTCTCGGTTCGCAGTCGGGACTAAGTTGGCAACCTGTGCACTCACAAACGAGCCTTTGGGGCTTAGGGTTCCCTATGCCCGGACCCCGGGCTCGGTTCTGATTCGTCCGGTGGGTCCTGTCGACTGAGCCTTGGGACCCAGGCTCTCTGAGCCTGAAATTGGAGGGTTGTAGATGTCAGCAGTTGAACCCTAAGCCCTAAAGCCCTCAGCCCTAAGCAGCAGGGGTAAGTCTGCACACCCTGAACCTTGGATCGTATGTGACAGAGCTAGAGATGAATGGGACCGATGTCTGTGAACGAGGGAGCCCGGTTCTTCAGACAGAGCCGGCCAAGGCCCTGATACAAACCCGCCGGCACCTCGTGCCCCAAGAACGACCTAATGCTGACGACTTACCTGCACTTCTGAGATCTTTTGAAGCTGGATTCAACGTGCATGCCTCAAAGATCCTTGGGGCCGAAATCAAAGCCGTTTCGCTCCACCGCTTGCCATCCAGAAGTCAAGTTGCGCTCTTGCTCAAGAAATTATTTCAAGCTACCACAGTAGGGATCTATAGTAACTAAACACGATTTCCTCACGATGGCAATTCAAGTCAAATTCATCAAAACAAGAACACAGTAAGAGGTCTCGGAGTCGCCAAACCCGCTCCGTGGGCGATGGACTTCCTTTCTCGGTTCTGAGTTGCAGGCAACCCGACGATGCCAACTGCGCCTCCAAGGCACCTTGCACCCCACTTTAGGGTTGGGGGATTAAGTCTAGGGGTTTAGGGCCTGGTTTAGGGCCAGTCGGCACAGTAGGAGTGCAGGCCTTTGGGGGGGTGGTGGAACTTCAATCCCGGTCTGGGGTGTAGCGTCCTTAATCGTGGCAAAGACCTTCTTTTTGAAACCCCTGAAACCCTTCAACCCTCAGCTGTGGGTGCCCATAGTTCCGCGGTTCTAGTTTCGGCTGCCGGGGGTTTCGGACCAGAGTGGTTTGGTTTCGGCGCCCAGTTTCGGCACAGTGGGGGTCAGGTTCTTGACGCGGGTCCGTCAGTTCCGGAATCTTTCAGGCCTCGGCTTGAAGATTACCATGGCGTGAGACCGAAAATGACCACCCGGACCATGTTCCGAAACTCTGGCCGGAAACTCAGCACCGAAATTAACCTTCCCTCGGCCCTTTGCTGCCTGCCGATGCACAACAAGCGGGATTTTGGATCCCCTTGAGCTCACCCGAAACCTCAAACCTCCAAGCCCGTTCTCCAAACCTAAGTTTAAGCCCTCCAAACCCTAAACCTGATCCTAAAGCCTAAAAGCCCAAGACTCGGACACCCAGAAACCCTTGAACCCACGCCCAGAGCACTTCGAAAGCTCTCCAGTCCTTCTGCACTTTGCAGCTCCTCCAGCGAAAGACGAAAGCTCTCCGAACTGTGACACTTATAGCAACTACGATGATTACGAGGCTTCCTACTATTGATACGTTCTCGGTGTTGTTGTTGGTACTGTTATTAGCCGCTGATTTAATTTCTGCTGTTACTACTAATCTCATCGTGATCTTTATTACTACTACTACTACTACTACTACTACTACTACTACTACTACTACTACTACTACTACTACTACTACTACTGTTACTACTACTCTTGCTGCTGCTGCTGCTACTGCTACTGCTGCTGCTGCTGCTCCTACTACTACTACTACTACTACTACTACTACTACTACTACTACTCCTACTACTACTACTACTACTACTACTACTACTACTACTACTACTACTACTACTACTACTACTACTACTACTACTACTACTACTACTACTACTACTAATTCTTCTATGAATATTATGATTCATTTTAATTGGTTCTGGGTTTCCTCCTTCTTCGGGTGTGTGGGTTTTCTTTGCTCAGGAGTATTTGCTAAAGAGGGGTGGCAGGTTGACCGTTTTGCTCGGGAGATAGTTTGCGGTAGCCAAGTTGCCGCGTCATTTTGATCGTCTGGGCAAGGATTTTTCGGGGTGCTGGGGGCGCGCAAGATGACGCATCATCTTGGTCATGTAGAGACTCACTCTCACTTGCGCCAGTCGCACCACTCCACCACCACGCACCACTTAAAATTGCAACACTCGCACGCACCCCAGGAGACCACACCAGCAGCAGACGGAGGGGGGACCATCGGGAAAATGAGCAGCCAAAACTGGCCCCAAAAAAATTCTGCGCACGCATGCGGGGGACCATCCAGCAGCAGACACGCAGGAGATCGACCGGCCAACCCTAAACCGATGCACACGCCGGACCCGCATACCCCTAAACCCGAAATCCAGCTATGCTCAAGACTGTAACGTCCATCGCGGCTGGCGAGTCAACACGGCTGAGTGCATCGGCAGCCGACGGGCAAACCTGCTCGACACATCGTCGAGAAACCCGTCGTCATGATGAAACTGCGCCCAGGCCACGGATGGCTGTGAAGAGGCCGCTCTGCTGAACTGCAGCATGCTGTTGGCTAGGTCTGGCTCGTCAGCCCTACGACGAATGGCGAGATGAGAGCCAATCATTTGCCACCAGCAAAAAATGCTCGGAGGTCTCATCTTCTCGACGGGCAGCGGCAGACTGCTGGCGGCGTCCTCAACACCTGCCTTTGGAAGATGAACCTGTCTTGCTCCTCGAAACATGTCCGGCAATCAACCTTGCTCAAACCAGCCAAGGACGAGCTTTTCGAAGCCGGTGTAGACAGTCAAGGGAAAGTGGATCATCTCGTCACCTGTCCAGCCATCCGGTCCAGCGGCTGTCCCTCCTAAGCCTACGGCGGTACGGTGCAAATCTTTGCCAATGATATCACGAAATCGGCCAGCGTCATGCCCTGCAGCACGTTAGACAGTCGCACTTTGGCGCTCCATGGTCCAACGGCTCGGCAGTGCTCAGGTAGAGGGAGGTTCCTCCGCCAGAAGTGTGCAAGCGCTTGCAATCGTTCCTGCGTGTTCTTGGTGAAGGTCACCTCGCCGTTGGGCTCGTGCACCTCTAAGCTAGGAGGTCGCGGTTTGCCGTTTCTCGACGTTTCTCACCAGCCAGCGTGCACCTCCGTTCGTGAGTAAGCCGTCCACAGGACCCCAACTTTAGCGTCTGCCACACCGTTTGAGCTGTGCGATGTCTTCGCAAGTCCTGCAAGCCCTTTAGCAACTGCACCTCCGTTCGTGAGTAAGCCGTCCACAGAACCCCAACTTTAGCGGCTGCCACACCGTTTGAGCTGTGCGATGTCTTCGAAAATCCTGCAAACCCTTTACCTGAGCAATCACATCTATCCTAGAAGGGCTGCAGGAAAGTAATACGTGCACTCATCCACGCGCAGCATCCCGCTATGATTTGTCGGTGACCTTTCTCCTTTTTGCATAGTGCTGAAACCGTTTGTCCTATCGCCCTGAAAAGGCAGTCCCCGGCGCCATTTTGGATATCACGTCGGCTCCCAATGGAGTGACACCGCTAGTTCAGGCTTCTTGGCGGGCTCAACCTGCGTGTCCCTGAGGCCTCTCCCGGAGCTCCGGACGACATCTCATTAGCAAGGGTTTCCAGGCTAGGAAACTCTCCGCAGATTTCTTCGACGCCTTCGTCGCTCAAGATCATGTCTTCCTCGGGATCTGCGGCAGAAGGCGCTGGGGGCGTCGCATGAGGAGTGCCTCGGGTCGACTTGGTTTGTGCTTACGCTGCACCGTGCGGATGACATCAGCGAGTGTGAACGAGGAGGCTTGATGCTTGAAACTCTGAACTTGCTTGAGAGCTTTGGGCTCAAGCTCTTTGTCCTTGCGAAACTAGCATTTTGCTTCAAGGACACTTTCCCCAAGCACTGGATCTTGCAAGATGATCGGAACGAATGCTCTACAGTCACGTCTGGGCCAGTGAACAACCCACGTTGCTCCCAGCCTGTCACGACGTTTCGCATCAAGCGCTAACTGCTCGAAGTTTGCCTCGGTAAGGACTCCATATGCAGGCTCGATGTCCCATCCACGCGGGACTGCCGAAACCGTCGTAGGAAGTGAAGGCTGATTACGAGGGTCCGGTTGATCGACGCGAACCACAAGCTGCTTGTGACCTGCAACAAGTCCATGCATGTCTGCAGTACCGCGAGAGCGAGTGCGGTAAGACTCTTCGTCCTCGCCTGTATGGGCTCGGATCCAGTGCAAGGCTGGGCGCTCTTGGCAAACTCCATGACCATACGTGGCACCCTTACCGGGACTGGGTTTAGGGTTTGAGATGGCTTTAGGGTTTCGGCACGTGGTTTAAGGTGTAGGGTTTTGGGCTTCGGGTACGGGGCTCGTTAGCATACGACAGGTGATTGTATCCCCTATGTAAGTTGTGATTGGAACCCTTTTGCAACCGGCTTGCATCGTCACGCCCAAACCCTAAACCTAAAGCCTGCGGAAAAAATGGGTGAGGCGGCGGTGCGGATTGTGCCTTGCAACAGAAGCTGGAACTGGGCCGCTGCCGTAGCCGGAGTTCCAGAAAAAAGATAAGCCCGCCCGGGGGAGGGCCTTGTTGTGGTGCTTCCAGCAGGCAGGAAAAGGAAACCAGGCTTTCGAAGCCAAGCCGCTGATTGGGAGAGCTTTGGATTTGAATTGAAAGTACAGCAACCTTTAGAAGCCAAGACCTTGACTGCAAAAGCTTTGCTTTAGAAGCCGGAGAATTCCAAAACCGCAGATTAAGGGGGCCTAAAGATTTCCAGACCTTCCTGAATGCAATTCCTTAATCCCAAGCCAAACAATCAATCCACACTAGCGGCAGGAGCACTCCAGAAGCAGCAGTGGAGTAGGAGTAGGCGTAGGAGTCTCCTTACTGCCGGGAACTAGCTGTGGGCCAGACTTTCATCCGCCTTCTTGAACATCCCCCCCTAAATCCCTGAAACTCTTCTTTGCATCCAGGCCTATTGCGACTGCCGGATCCTTAAACTCTAAATAAACCCCAAAACCACCAAAACTAGAGCCCTAAAACCCAAAGCCCCTCCTTTGGGCACTCCACGAAGAAGTAAGGCTCGAAACCATGGATGTGCGCAAGGACACTGTGGCCCTGCTCTGTGACCTTTTTTCTTTGAGGCTTTCGGAGGGAGAGTTGGGGTTTCAGAGTTAAGGGCTTTGGGGTCTAAGGACTTCGGGATTTATTTCAGCGATCACTCTCGGACACGCCAGGCGGGGGTATTGCTGCTGAATCTGTTCAAGGTGAAACCTATTGTCAAAAGCACTGCATGAACCAATAAGCAATAATTCTGAAAGAGGGCCACTGACGATCTTTATAAAGATATTAGCTACAAAGCTGAGATGTTTCGGGTTTTAGGTCAGGGTGTACAGGATTTGTTTCATGGCCGAAGTTTTCCGGCTGTCGACCCATTGCTTCAGAATTGGCGTTTCTGACTGCAGGCCGAAGATCTATGAGTATGTCATACTTGCATTGTGAACCCAGGCTCGGACCTTGCATCAGCTGCTACTCTCAACTATTGCTGACAATTATTCCCCAAGCAGCGTGGTAACATTATGCGGTTTTTGCATCCAGTGCAAACAGAATTCATTGCGGAGGCCGTGCAGGGAAACAGGCTGCCCGCGTCCTGTGGTTTACGGAACATGCTGCAAATCGTCTCCCCACCCTGTGATTTCCCACATGATGCCTGCGGCGCAGTAGATTTCCGGAGGCTTTCTGGGCTCTTCTGGTGGTCTCTCGGTGGTCCCTTGGTGGTCGCGTTGTGCTTTTCTGGTGGTCTCTTGGTGGTCTCTTGGTGGTCTGCTGGTCTCGTGGTGTCTTGGTAGTCTCCTGCTGGTCTGCTGGTCCTTGCTAGTCGTTGCTGGTGGTGCCGGAGTTCAGTGTGTTCGAACACAAATATAGTCAGCGCAGTGTTTCCGGCACGCTCCTGAGCTCTGGGGCCTCCAAACTATTGGGTGTTCGGATCAACTGCAATACAAATCTCGTGCGCAGAATGTTTGGAAAAAGCCGCGAAAATGTTGGAGAAACGCAGATGGTAACCTGTACTTTCCCACACAGAGCCCAGTGGGTGATGACTGAGCTCCTGGTAGTTTGGGAAAACATACATGGCGAGTAGTGGCGACCTGCATTTTTTCAACAGAAAGCGTCACCCTGGGGGCCTGGTGTTGTGGTGCATGGAGGGTCAGCATTTCTGTGTTGCACAGATATAGATGCAGCTTATATCTCTCAACTTATGAGATGTTCAGCTGTTCATCTGAGCTCTTTGGATCTATGATCTTTTAACTACTATAGAGATGATGTTCTTGATTCTTACACTAACAATTAGACTGGTATACGGTATATTATGAAAGAAACCACACCACCAAAAAAAGTAAAATTAAACTAAAGTTGTTTTATTTGTTTTTATTTCCCCCCCCCCCCCCCCCCCATCCTCCCCCAGTAGAGGGACTCTGAAGTGCAGCCCTTTGAGCCCATAGTGGAACATGGCCCGGCAAGCGCGACTTGTTGCTGCTAACGGCATGCTTCTGGTGTGGTACTTCACTGTTTGGGGATCTCCGCTGGCAGAGCTAGCACAATGCTCATCATTGCAGGTATTATTGAGGGTTCTTGTTTCATGGTGTGGGTCTCAAGTATGGGCGGGGTCAGGCTTACTCTCGTACACGAGCTTTCAGCTTACACTCTAGGCATCAGGATTGACTTTTAGTGGTCTAAGTTCGAGGGCTCATTGTGGCTGAGGTCCGAGGATGCGGGATATTTAGGTTTAGGGCTTCGGTTTGTCTGCTGGTTTTTCGCTCTCGCGGCCGCAAGGTTCCGTCTTGTAGTTGCAACCTTAAGCGCAATACGAAAGGACTAGATTCTATACCCTGCAACTCAAATCCCTGAGCTCTCAACCCCTTATTGGACCTGAGATAAACATACCGTGCCACTGCTAGCGAAAGACTTCTGAAAAACCGAGTTCTACAAACCCTCTGAGGTCCGCACCCCGTACATCCGCAGCACCGCGGCCGACGTGTCCGGATTGAGTGGGTTCGTCTCGTTGGGGAACCGGCTATCCGGTGCCTGGCTGGTTCAGGGGGATGAGGCAATGTCCACACTATTTGGGATTCAGGGCCCCAACCTTTCTCTATCTGTCTCTCACTCCCTTCTCCTTTCACCCGGGTACTCCGGAACCGCTGTCAAAAGCAAGCTGGGCACAAGCCCTTTTTGCATCAGGACTTGTGCAATCGCCCCGAACACCACTTGAACCTCAAACTGTCAACTCTGTCCATAAAGCCGTGGAAGTCGCAAGCCTTCGTGTAGTAGTCGATGTCTACCTGCATGAACTCTAAAGCGCCTGCCACACGGTGCGAGATTCAGGTTCAGGGGTGCTTCAGGAGCCCAGGCCCCAAATGTAAAATAAAACATATGACAACTAGAGAATCTTGACAGGATCACGTCAAAGTTTCGGCTGGCAGTTTCCAGGTCAAGGTTCACGAATTGCAGAAGGACCCGGTGCAAACCTTGTTGAGCAGTTTCGGACACACCGGGGAACACCCCTTCGCAAACCTACGCCTTTGGCAAATCCAAAACCCATACAACTGTGAATTCGGTGCCAACACAGGAATACGTACACATACAGTCACATACACATACACATCAAATACAAACATATAGACATACATCTACACATGCACATGCGTACATTCATACATTCCTACATGCATGGCTACATGCATGCATAGATACGCCACTTATCGCTACATTACCATACATTACATAGATATTACATAGATTACATACACGATATACACTACGAACATTACATACATTCATACATTCATACATAATTACAGAACTACATACATACATACATGCATGCATACATACATGCATATGTACATACATACATACATAGGCATACATAAGCATACTTAGACATACATACTTACATACAGATACACACATACACACAGACAGACAGACAGACACACATACATGCGTACATGCTTGCATACATAAAAAAATATAAGCGCACACACACACACACACACACAGACAACTCATCTGTGAAGTGCATTTGTAAGCGATGACAACAGGGGTGAAACGGAGTCACTCCTGCAGTAGCCCTTTCGCTGTTACCCTGCAGCCTCAACCTGCACTGTTCTGCAGTTCAAAAATGGCTCCGCCACATTGGGTACCCTTTCTCCTGACTCAAGATTTACCAAAGACACAGCAAATCATGGATGCCAAAACTCAAAAACCGATCACCGCCTTGATTGTTAGTAAGGTGATCCGCTTGTCGCCCCAATGTAAGTCGACTATCTACCAATATACCCACAGCGGCCCCATGCTGACAGCCCGCGCAACTCACCGCAAAGCCCAAGGCCACCAAATTACCACGATAAATCAACTTGTACTTCCAAAAAAGTATTGCTTAAAATCAAACAAACCACACTATTCAGCTAAGCACTTTCCAACCAGCAAGAAAACATCAGCAGACATAAGAAGTGGCATTGACGGAAAAATCATCACACACAACAACAGCAACAGCAACAACAGCAACCACAATCAGAGTGGCAATCCACCCCCACCTCCCCCCCGTAATGCCATGAACCCCTTGCAGAACCTCTTGTGTACACCCGTGCTGCTCACCCCCAAAGAGCCCACAACCGGATAAATCCCTTTAAAGCCCAGCCAAACCCTCACTGAACAGCCCTTATAAAACGCTACAAATATTCCTGAACTCCGAGCAGATGCGAAGTTGGAGAGGTGCACATGTCTCTCGGCCTGCGAATCCCTCTGGCGCCTTCGGCCTGTTGCCAGGGAAAGCTCTAATGCAGGGGCCTTAATAATTAGAATACGGTTTTGGGGCTCAGTGTTATCACTTTTGCCTCGATGCTCGTTTGCAGAGCAGCAGGAAGACCTAGCTGGTTGAGCCGCCATGCTTTGCGCACGACGGGTTGTGCGAACGGTATGACGGCTATCCTCCTTGAGTTTCTCGAGATGCGGTGCTGCTCTCACAAGAGAGCTTGTAGCCCAGGCCGAGCTCAAAGCTTGCTACATGGGAGTTTCCGAAAATAGGGGTACCATATTTTGGGGTCCTTATAATAAGGATCCTACTATTTAGGGTACTATGTTAGGGTCCCCTATTTTGGGAAACTCCCACATGGCGGACAGCACTTGACAAACAGTTGTTTGGGGCCCAATATGCTATAATTTTAAAAAGGACACCCCAAAATAGTATAGGTAATTGGTTCAACCCCCCTACTAGGACGATGAACGAAAGCTCTGGGACGGACATTAAAGGAAGGGTTTGGGGTTTAGAGGTTTGGGGCTCCGGGTTTAGAGGTTTGGGGCTCCGGGTTTCATTCAGGGCTTTAGTGGTTCAGAGCTGAAGGGTTTTGACAAGGCCGTGCCGGCTGTCGCTAGCATGGAACTGCTCCTTCCCGACTAACCCGAACCCAGGGACTACGGGCTACATAATTAGGGGGCTACTAAAGGTTACTATAAGGGAACAACATTGCTAATATGAGGACTTCCACCCGCTTAGCTGAAGAGGTCGCACTGCAGGAAAAGCCCTCAAGAACGTCTGACCCGGATGATGCAAGTTTCTGGGTTATTCCGATCTCCGGAACTCGCAGAACTCTCCTGTAAGACGTCCAGACCTTGAGGCTCAAGGCTTCTGTTTTCGGTATTGCACACCTACACTCAGAGATTCCGGGGAGGGGTTGAAGGGCTCATGGTTTTGACATGTTTTGACACTCACGGTCGCACAAGGCAAAGGAGGCTCCACACAATCCAAATCAAGACAAGACAGCAATCCAGAGCAACCAACCCGCTGAATCGAACAGATCCAAGACCATACACCGCCTACATAAAATCCGACAGAGTCAGGGTTTAGTGTTTTGGCCCCCAACTGCAGACACGAACCTTCACCCTGGTCTCAATGTGTATGTTTGGCCTCGCAAGCTTTGAAAAGGAGATGCGCTTCCCGTCGAAACTGTGGCCTTCGGCTGGCCAAAAAAAGTCAGCCGGAGGAGTTCGAACTTTCGATAGTTTTCGCCAAAATGGTCGATGTGCTATGGCCCAAGACTCGCCCTGACACATTTGCACGACGCGAAGCAGCGGTACATGTGGCAGGCGATGCCAGAAGCACTGCTGGTGCCACTGCTGGGAGTATGAGAACGGAACAGTACTGGTAGTAGTCGTCGTCGTATTGCGAGGCCCAGTCGTCGTAGCGGTAGCTGTGCTATTGAAAACAGTGGACCCTAACGGAGAAACTCATGTAGCAAGATCCTGACCGGGACTACCATTCAAACCATAAGTGGCCTCTACATGAAGCACCCGAAGCGTTCAGGAAAAAACGCTACATGTGCCGCATCGCGGCAGGCACTGCTCGATGAAGGCCAGGAGCCGGGAAACAAGGCTTGGAGGTTCAGCTCTCGAGGTTGCAAGTTAACTATGACTGGTATCCCAATATCGGTACGATGACTGCTAGTAGAATCGCTGCGTTTAACCCAAAGTGGAAAGTACTAGTCAAATGTGAGTGTCCGATCTAATTCAGCATATCTATATAATTAGTCTTTCGCTGAAATGACGGAGAATGGAAGTTGTGAGTCAGTGGGTATTGCTATCTGTTGCATTATTTGACAGCATAAACCAACACAGGCAGGCTGAGGCAGGCACGCGACCGCTTGGCCTCAGCTCCGCATCACAGCTCCCACCGCAACATCAAGGGATGCATGCTGAATACTTCTCAAGTCGACCGTCTCGCTTAGCCTTCGTTGAATGTCTCTCTTCTCCCAAGGCCTAAGCTCTCCACCTTCTACGTACAATTTGCACCAAGCATTCACCCACTTCTGAGAAGGGACAGAAAGAAGGTGGAGGAGCTAACTTGAAGGGGCAGGGTGTTTTGCCTCGCGAGCCCACGCTGGAGTAGTTCACCTTTTCGATGCGGCCAAACCCCAGCATGACGCTTGAGCAGAAGGGTCAGGCCTGGAATACCACTTCAGGGATAAACCAAACGGGGCGGGGAGTTCACCATCTCAGGTGCCTGTATATAGAGAAAAGAGCCTGGGCCTAAGCCTAAGGTTCCGGATGAGTTTCGGGTTTTGGCAGCAGGCTCGTCAAATTGGAGCTCGAGCAAAAACACAGAAACAGCCCGCACGAAGGAACATCTACGACCAGGCAGCTGGCGTTGCATTGCCATGCGGTGTATACAAAGGGCAGGATTCGTCCGTTCTGGCACGTTGATACTCAGAGGAACCACACCATAAAGCCAGCTTAGCAATGGCGAGAATCGTGCAGCAAGACTTGGGGTCATCGTCGCAATGGTAACTTGTGATGTACAAGCGTTAGTGTTCTTCTCTGCTCGACTCTCTGCCCATCGTCGCACTTCGGATACAGGTAGAAGAAGGAAGCGCTCTTGTACAGGCCCTGTCTGCAAAGACCATAGCCCCTGGATCCCCTGCACTGGCCTCTGGCTATCCCTACACAGGCTAAGCAACTCTGCCCCGCCATAAGCTATCGCAGCTGCAGGCTCCGGCCGTCTAAAACCTAAAGAAGGCTCTTTGTTACTCCATCGAATCCCGGAAAAGACCAAAAGCTGCAGCCCTAAAAAACCAAATACCCTGGGCAAGCCTTGGGTTCCTCCCTCCTGAGCTGTGGGCCGCGGGGGGGTTCTTGGTCTCTGTCGTGCGCTTTGGCGGGGCGACCGGAAGGGTGGCGGCCCCATTTGGAGCGGCGCTAAAGGACTCGAGTTTCTCCATCATGGACCTGATCGAGACGAAAGGTATCCTAAAATATCCTGAAGTACTAACCTCTACATCCGGCTTTCGAAACCCTACATCATCCTTTTACAGCTGGAACAATCGACCCCAAGACCCATGCCAGGGTAGATCCCCAAACTGTGCAAGAGCGCACGGCGACCATGAAGCCCATGACTACTAGGACCACCAGAACCACCACGACGACTACTACGAATCAGGGTGACCACGACGACCAGGAGACCACGAGGAGATGGCGAACAAACCACCAGGTTCCACTATGCAGGTATGCAGGATACCTGGTGGTGTAGTGCGAACCTTTTTCAGTTACGTTACGAAAGACAACCTGGCGTCTCGTCATAAATAGGGGTTCCATTCGGGGCTATAAGGCTTTGTCATAGAGGCGAGAACGCGACGAATACCCGATGCCCAGCAAAGCACTCTCCAAGCGAGACAAAGCACCCTTTCTGAATCAGAACCCTCTGTGAACTTAGGGTCACCCCACTACACAACATTACGAACCAGCCTTGAAAAACGCCTGGGTGTTCAGGACCTTTGTCATTCAAGGTTTTTGT